TAATGTTTAGTATTGATTTGCTGTTTGCAAGGGACGCGTATATCTTCAAGGAAACAAGATGATTTTGTAGGTTTCCGAAGCATCAGAAGCTCGACAAGTGGGTGATGGCTGGAGAAAAGCGGCAAACATGTTGGCCCAAACTTCACATTGAATCCGAGTTCGAAAGCCAGCTCACTGGAATTCGGTAAAACAGAAATATAAACAATGCAAACCTTGGTGGCAAGAAAAAAAGAAATAAGCGATGGATATATGGCCTACTTGTTAACGCAAGAGACGTGTGCCATTGAACAAAACAGTTCAAATCGAGATGGAAAAAAGGAAGACAGGAAAGAAGCGCTGACTGAGGTTTCGATGAAGTTGTTTGGTGTTTATTTGCCAGAACGCTATTCTCTGTTCTTTATCGATGAAGGACATCAATTAGAACTATCTTTTTGGTATAAATGCAGGAGCGATCGAGTGGAGTACGCTCAGAATTTCAACTTGTCACTCGGCAGACTCGGTAAGCCGGCCACATTTCATTTCAGCGAGTAATTTTCCTATTTCTTATCTTTGGCTGTTAAGAGTTTTAACTTCATGTTCCATAATATTTTAAAAGTGAAGAATACATAAATAAGTAAAATGATGATCTTCTTAAACGGATCTAGACTCGCATTTAATGATTCGAAACAGAAGCTTGCCGTGTTCACTCCTGACACAAACATTGCCTTAAAAGTTTAACCTAGTAAAATGTGAGCTTTATACCGCTTTTTTACCAAGAGCTCTCTGAGATAATGCCGTAAAGGAGACCAGGCAAATAGCAAGCCATAAGATTCACACACTAGAGCTTCTAGTTTTGATAAAATTATTTTATTTCGCAATGCAAAGAAATCAAAAGATTTTAAATTTGCACTGAATTTGCTAAGCTCTGCCAACGTACCTCTAACAATTCACTCCAAAGCGACGGAATTAATATCATCCAAAGGAAGTTGTAAATACAGACATACATAGATATGTGTAAAATGACACTGACATGAATCAATGAGTCTCGTGAGTGAATCTTTCACCCGCTCTCGACTTGACCAGTTTTGAGTAATGGCGGTGGTCTCTTCCGTTCACAAGTAGGCCATCTATCCGTCGCTTTTTTCTTTTTTTCTTGCCACCAATATCTGTTTTTACTTCTGTTTTACAGAATTGCAGTGAGCTGGCTTTCGTATTCGGTTTCAGCGTGAAGTTTGGGCCAACATGTTTGCCGCTTTTCTCCAGCCATCACCCACTTGTCGAGCTTCTGAGGCTTCGTCAACCAACAAAATCATCCTGTTTCCTTGAAGATATACGCGTCCCTTGTGATTGCAAACAGCAAATCAGTATTAAACATTAAAAGCAGAAGACGTCCCACGTCATTGTATTTAAAAAGACGTCCGTACAAAGTTATTTTAGGTGCAATCCGTGCGAAACACTCTGCAAGTTCACTGAAAGTCTTCATTTGCAATTTTTGTTTACCCTCCAACGCCTCGCTTTCATGACTAGGCACCAGTTTTTTCCCGCGTGTCCGCCATTTGTGAATACGGTGTATAGCATTAAGTAAGTGGTAAATACTCATTTAGCTATGGTACGACAACTAAATAGATAAATAGCTATGTTACACTGTTATTAAGTTCTAGTGAGCCCACTAATATAGACAGTAACATAGACTGATGTTAATTTAAAAATGTTTAGTCTGCTCAGAAGGTCCGTCATTCTCATCAGGGGCACAGTGAACAGACCTGGAAAGAGAGTCAGCGCCGAAAAGGGAAAACATCGACTCGGTCCGGAGAAAACTTCGACAAAGCGCGCGTTGATAAAGCAGAAAAATAAACAGTTAACGGTGGATGAAACCTTGTTTTTTTACTCTCTTTCCTCACGTTTCAAACCGTGGTACCACAGCTGGCCCTACGTGCCTGAGTCGACTACCATCAATCCATGTTTAAAAATAGTTATTTTTTACCGTACAAGTCCTGAACTTCCAACTTTCTTGGTTGTTTCAAACTGGAAAGGCCGCTGCTCGTTTCTTGACCATGTTTCAAAAATCTGCTTTCGATACGATAATGTCTGTGCAAATATAAGAGATCATAACAATTGCAGGCGATGCCTCAGAAAGGTGCTAACAGTTTTCTTTCCAAAAAGAATTAGAAATAAAGTTTCAAATGCGTCTAACTCACCGCAGCTTGAATAAAAACAACCAGTAGGATGACCGTACTATGTTTTCTTCACTCGATGGCTTACGTCATTCCACATCATGCGCAATTTCTTCAAATGTTAACCGGCAACCGCCGTGAACTTTCGCGCGCAACTTGAAGGAGTTACATCACAGTGATCCTGGTGTGCAAGTGAGGCCTCCGATTCTCACCAGTTCGGTTTTCGTATTCCAATGTAGATATAGACTTAAATTACATAAACTATTATGTATTTAAAAAATTGTACAGCACTGCTTTAGTTAACAATTTTCATTATGGGCTAAGTAAAAAAATATATAAATAAATAAATAAATAAATGTGATGAATGTGACATATAAACAAACAAGCAAGTATTTAAAATGAAAATGATAATGACATATGACGGGGTTTTACAACCATGATACTCGCCCAAAAACATCCCTATCTGATTTTACAAGCAACCAAAAGGATGCCTGTCCATATACTGGGCTATTCTGGTATATGGCAACCATGTCTTTCCCTTAAACTGCCCGCTGTGCGCCAGACCTGTCAGCTTTGTTCACGGCTGTAGAAGGTCATTGCACTCGTGCGACAGGCATCCTTTTGGTTGCTTGTAAAATCAGATAGGGATGTTTATGGGCGGGGTATCATGGTTGTAAAACCCCGTCATAACTCATTATTATTATTATTTAAATAATTGTTTGTGTGTTTCTATGTCACCTTCATCACATTTATTTATTTATGTATTTTTTGGCTCAGCCCATAATGGAAATGGTTAACTAAAACAATGCTGTACATTTTTTAAAGTCATAAACTTTATGTAATTTAATTCTATATCTTCTTTGGAATAAGAAAACCGAACTAGTGAGAAAAAGGCCTCACTTGGACACTAGGATTACTGTGACGTAACTCCTTCAAGTTGCGCGCGAAAGTTCACGGCGGTTGCCGGTTAACATTTGAAGAAATTGCGCGTGATATGAAATGACGTAAGCCATCGAGTGAAGAAAACAAAGTGCAGTCATCCTTCCAGTTGTTTTTATTCAAGCTGCGGCGAGTTAGACGCATTTGAAACTTCATTTCTAATTCGTTTTGGAAAGAAAACTGTTGGTACCTTGCTGAGGCATCGCCTGCAATTGTTATGATCTCTTATATTTGCACAGACATTATCATATCGAAAGCAGATTTTTGAAATATGGTCAGGAAACGAGCAGCTGCCTTTCAGTTTGAAACAACCAAGACAGTTGGAAGTTCAGGACTTGTACGGTAAAAATAACTATTTTTAAACATAGATTGATGGTAGTCAACTCAAGCACGTAGGGCCAGCTGTGGTACCACGGTTTGAAACGTGCGGAAAGAGAGTCAAAAAACAAGATTTCATCCACGGTTAACTGTATTTTTTTCTGCTTTATTAACGCGCACTTTGTCGGGTTATTTAGTTGAAGTTTTCTCCGGACCGAGTTGGCTTTACCCTTTCGGCACTGACTCTCTTTCCAGGTCTGTTCACTGTGCCCCTAATAAGAATGACAGACCTTCTGAGCGGACTAAAATTTTTAAAATAACATCAGTCTATATTCCCGTCTATATTAGTGAGCTCACTAGAACTTAATAACAGTGTAACATAGCTATTTATCTATTTAGTTCTCGTACCATAGCTAAATGAGTATTTACCACTTACTTTATGCTATGCATTCTTATTAAAAAATAACTAACGTATTTGTGGCTATTCTTCCCGCAGCTGCATGTAGTTTACGCTCAATGAACTGATGTGTATTCATTGAACTACTGGTGTGGTTATTGATCTGTTGTGTACTTATTGAACTGCTGTGTCGTTATTGAACTAACAAAAAGGAAAACTGGGTGACAGGCTAACAACACTATATTGTGTAGATCCAATTTTGAAGCCAAAGCCCTAGGATATTGTACAGTTATTCCAGAACCTGTCAGTTGGAGTAACCTTGACTCTCGGTTCAGCCACACCATTATCATCAGTTATAAACTCCACCGTAGCGTAGGCTGTTGATGCCCAATCTTTCTTCAATTTTTGCACTACATCATCTGGAGGACGCCATGTTCTGTTGTTTTCCCAAAATCTCGCACCTCCATCGTCGTAAGAGATGTCGCCATTACGAATACGAGTTGATAGCAATACAGTTCCACTTGGAGGGGAAGCTGGTGATGAACCTGCGGTAAAATATATACAACATGTGACAAAAAGAAAAACTCTTCTTACGGAAAGACTATCCGTGATATAAAATTAAAGAGCTTTTTTTATGGGGGGGGAGGAAGGTGCCGCAGAAAACACTCGTCTCCTACAATGTGCCCGGGTTCGGATCCTAAAGGTTATGCCGTGGCCTGTGTACACCCACCCCTTCCCCTGAAACCAAATCGCTCCTGTTCCCGATATATTTTTTGGGGGGAGGGAGGGGGCGGGGCGCTTTGCTGTGGACACGGTTAGCAATGCCATATCCGGGTTGAGTTTTTAGTTGGTTTGCTTCTTTGCCATGAGAATATTTTCTTCGGGTACTGTAAATCTATACACCATTCCGTTTGTTTCTCTGCCCAACAAAGTAGTTTCCGGCTTAAATTTCTCGCTTACTCACAGGATGTGTGAGGTGAGCCAAGGAATCCTTCCCCATTCTCACTCTCCATGTTTAAACTTTCTCCGGATCCCTTGTTCGACTGTTTTTCGGTTGACTGATGATGATAATGATGATGATGATGATGAGCTTCCAGTAAAGCTAAGGAATTTTGAAATTGTAACATCATCAAACACTAAAAAAAACATAGCAGAGAAAACATTTTCGTAACCCTTTTTCTGAATATTTAAAACATAATCATACTCAGTCATACTCGTTTTCTTGTCCTTAGCTTGTCTTTTTCCATCTGTCGTAGATTGTGGGGAGAAGGTCGCATTACTTCCGGCTCTCCTCTGGCTTTTATGGTGGGTAGGTTCTACATGGACATTGGCGGTTGCTTCAGCCTAAAATGCACGCAAAATCATGAATGCAAAAAGAAACCCTCACGAACTCCAAGCAAAGCATGGAGGTGACGAGGCCAATAGAAAGGACTGGGAATGAGATACGTTCTGCGCCACCATGGCCACCAAGCGCGCGAGGAGGCGTGTGAAGTATGCACTGGGCGACTTCTGGCTTCGTTCGTTTATCACGTGGTAGTGGCGTCTTAGAAATACGGCAGAAATGATTTGTTAACTTACCTCTGCGACGTTGTCTGTAGGTTGTCCTCTCTGTTGGTGTTCAAACTTCTGTCCTCTTCTGCTTGGATCAAAGTAATGCAACAATGCTTCTTCGTGAATTGGTCTGTGACTATCGTCCCAAGAGAAGATGAAACTCTGCCTTCCATCGATGAATTTCACTTGAAGCTGGGTTTTGATGGCGCTGAACGCGGATTGTGAAATGAACTTACTTTGTTTTTCCTCACTGTTCGCGTACTTCTTGTCCCCGCCAATCACAACTAACACATTGTCGGCTGCAAAACAGAATACTTTACTCTTTAATTTGCTATAGTTTCTTTAAAATAAAAAAACTAGCAAGTTAGACAATTCATGTGATGCAGTTCGTATGTAATCGGAATCATAGTTCGAGTAAAATACCACCTGATTTTGCTGCAACAATGTTCGAGGCCAATAGCTCAGCTCATAGCTGGGGAATTAAACAATCACAGCATGATTTCCTTAACATTTCTTGGAAAACACACCCTTAAGTCACTTTCAATTCTTTGAAATCATACTATTTTGTAAATGCTTAATAAGTTTTAGCTTCGCATCGAACAGACGGAAATTTCTATGACTGACATAATAAAGGTCGCTGTAAACGGCTTTCAACTAAGCATTTCAAAGATCGCACAACATAATGCACCAGAACCATTACAATTTAGTTGGTTCAAAGCAATTAGTAATTACAATTTTTGAAAAATTCTTTTCATTTTCTAAAATCACATACCTGAACCGGTTTTTTTCGTTAATGCTTTATATATCTTTCCGTAGCAGTCTTCATCGAACGAAAGCTGATCATTTGCGTGCACCATAAACACAGCGTAGTCCATTCTCAATTTAGGAATTGTTTCTTCCGACACTTTACTAAAGGCAGTCGTTTCGCTTCCAGTTCTAAACGTGTGCTCCTCAACTTTAATCTTGAAATCAACTCTTCCCTCGACTGAACGCAGAAGCGTCGTCACCTGACTTAAATTACAGGTTTCATCGCAGTTAAAGAGGTAAAAATACTTTGTAGATTGTTTGGTGCGCCTTGAACAGCTCGCCATGTTTATGAAATTGTTACTTTCGTTATCAATTTAAGTCCCGGATACACGGAAGAGGTAAATTTCCCGGAATCACGCGAGATTTCTTTCTCTGGTCACGCGACACAAGCCTTATTGGTAAGCGGCTGGAGTTTAGGAAGTACCAAAGTTTAAATGAAGTTTCATGTACAAAAGTGATATGAATCGATTATGTAAATAAAGACAAGATGGTAAATCAATCGCATCAAGCTTTTAAGTTCAGCTCTTCGACGTAGAGAGATGCACAGTTTAACAAAAGAAATGCACCAAATTCCTTTATGTTCTTGACATGCACTAATGTGCTTTATCACTTGCAACAACATTTCTGATATCAATTCTTTTACATCACTTTTACGTCAACAGTTCATAGTTGTCGCTCTTCAGAAGTATATGTTACAAAATGCAATTGACTAATATAAGGGATATATGCACTGCGATTTTACGAATAAATGCCTTTTCTCATTCATTCCAAAGTAAATATTCCTCCGTTTCGGATTGGCTCCTATTCGCCTGGATAAATCTCCCTAACCATAAGCAATATTTGTACGAATGACGCCAGTTACACAGAAAATGGGCAGAAAAGGGTACGGTAAACCACGAAGCGCCTTAGAACGAGGTCCGGCGCGGTAGCTGAGCTGTTTTGGTCAGCTGGAGAAAATGGCGGAAAATTTTAGACGTATTGAGAACTTTTGCCTAAAGCATACCAAGAACAGCAAAAAACAACTCGACACGCTGACAACTGCTGTTTGAAAACTACTGTGTAACGCCCCTCTAAATCCTGAATTTGCCGTGGAACAGACACAAATAAAGACGAGGACGAAGTTAAGTCAATGGAGGTAAGCATATACATATAACATTGAATATCTTGAATATCTTGGATAATGAAAGAAATTATAATTATTAGACTCGGCTTTTAGCCTTATCCAAAAATGGCTAGTGATAAATGAACTTATAATAACGGCGCCTGAGCCTATTAGTGCACCAATCTTATAAGAGACCCAGGCAGCGAACCAGGTACTAAGACACACACGTTACCATGCAGTCTTTGACTTACTGGGATTCCGACTATTAAAAACCAGTCTTTACGAGCAGAAGCACAAAACCGGATATGCGTCTGTAAAGGGTCATCGAAATGACGTCAAAATGGACAAATCTTGAGTGGAACCACGAGGTACAGGCGCTTAGTTGCACTGCAAACTCCTTTAAACCTTTGAGCCCTAAGAGTGAGCAGCACCAATTTTCTCCTTGTAATATCAATGCTTTGTAAAACAGAGTGGTCATGATCAGACAAGCTAAACTTGCTTGATATCTTCATCAACTTCTCCCCACTACTTTTGTAGGAATGAATAGGGGTAACAAATGAGAATTCAAATTTTGATATTAGAGTTTAAAGGGTTAACGTTTTGACCCTTTTCTATCAGCTGCAAGAGTGTACAGAACGGATGTCAGTAAATGTTGATTTGTTTGTTTGTATTTTTCTTTTGCAGGCTAAACAGTGAAGTACATTGTAAAAATGGACAAAAATTAAAGGAATTTATTATTCGGCTGTCATTATTGTCTACACATCTATTACTGTGTTTATTAGTTCGATCTATAACTACAATATTAACAACGCACAATTTCCGAGAAAATGAGTTTAATTCGAAGAAAACCAGTCAAACCGGAAATGTTCAAATTAGTTCAAAGTTGATTGAATGACCGGCGTTGAACATTTCTGTATTGATTTTCCGTGATAATGGCTTTGGAAGGTTTCTTGACAACCGGCATTTTTGTTCTTTTTTTTACCAACGGATTATTTCCAACTGATGCAGGTGAGTTTAAGAGTTTTGCATGCGCTGATCATGAATCACAGCTGAAATACCTGGTCGACATGTACTAAAAAAGCATGGTTTACGTTGTAATGCATCAGTCAATTCCAGCTTTTTTTTGCCTTGGATGGCAAATTCCCCGGGGTGGGGACTCTTGAGCTGTCAAATCCCCCAAGGTGGGGACGAAAAAAGAGGGCAAATGCTCCGTCCTCCGTGAACACTGCAACATTTTTCATTGATCGCACAGTCGAATAGTGCCGTTTTAAGCATTTTAATGTGAAACTTTTTGTTTTCATTAACGTCTTCCTTTGTAATAGCGATAGGATTCTATTTAAGACTTCACGCCGCGACGACAAGCACCAGTTCATAATCAGTTTAGTATTGATGTAAAATTATTAACATTGAAATTAACAGAGCGCTGTAAAGCTATATGTATGAATAGTTTTATAAATATGAAAGGATGTTTTTCAAATAATTTCAACAGAAATTTGATTCAGTAACCAACAAGAGCCATAAACCAAGAAACGGTGATTTACGTCGATAGCTCCCGATTTCGCTCTGTAATTCTGGCTCGATAAGCAATGAAGAAATGCGTGCATAAAATCAAGAACATGCCTTTCCAACCCTCTTCAATTTTTTCCTGTCCTTGACAGATGAGCCAATCTGCTTTCTTTCCCAGTAAAATCCTCTATGTAGTTATATTCTGATAGCAAACCGCGTGCGTGTCGAAAGCTTGGTAATGGCCCCGGGGCTCGCAAATGCCCGGGACAAAATTTGCTAATAGGGAGCTTAAGGAACAGCGTTTTTGATCGACGGACGTCAACCGGAAGTGGACTTTTTGCATCACTGGGGAGTGGTTTGGTTCAAACTCTCGGGTAAATCGTCTTTAAAAGAGAAAAGAAACTCAGCAATACAAGTTTGTTAGCGTCAAGGCATATAAAAAGGGAGAAGGCGTCACTTCCGGTTGACGTGCGTCGCTCAAAAATGTCTTTGCTTAAGGTCCCTAATGCCCCACCCCCGGGACAGACAAGGCGGGCAAATGCCCCGCAGTAGCCCGGGGGCTGGGCGCAGCTGGCATTGACTGAAGCATAACGGTTCGTCTCCATCCCTTTTCTACGGCTTAATTAGCTTACGGTTAATTTCGAAGATCAAAATCTGTTGTTTTAGAAAGTCCAAACTAAAGTTCCATATTTCTGTAAAACACATTTTCAAGGTCTGTAGGTCTCTAAAGAAGCTGAAGAAGCTAGAGAAGGTGAGTATAGAATCCTAACGAACTCGCCTCATTTTTTAAAAAACAAATCGCGCCTTGAAATGTTTTAAAAATTTTCTATTTTTTAACGCCTAATGACAAAAAATTTAGAGCTAAAGGCTAACCCCAATTAATGAGATTGGCATTGAAGAATTAACTCAGCACAAATGCTTTCTAATCCTAGCGCCTTGTCAGTCTTGCCTGAATCCTAAAATTCCATTAAACTCAATGTCCTTAATGTTGCTTTTGAAGTCACTTCCGCAAGTTCAAGCCAAGATAACAGACGTGAGGTCTGCTTGACGTCCCCTGAATGAGGTTTCTTTCCATCAACTGTTTTCCGATCGACTAGGAATCTTTTACAAGCATTTTTAGACTGATCGATCATCACCGCCTCGCGTTTATCGACCATGTCGTTTCCTGTAAACAGTACTAAACTATCTGTCTGGATGATTAAACTTGTGAATTTACTTCACCTTCATGATATTCTTCGCATTGTGCATATGATTGCAGTATGATTGTATGATTCATAAATGATTGATTGTATGATTCATGGACACTCCCCTCAGTTGTTAAATAATTGTGTATCACGGGTGTGGATCATCCCTTACTGTTTCGTTACACATGATCGAAATGTGTCGAGGTATCATTTTCCAACACAGACATTTTAAAAGGTCTTTCTCGCCTCATATTTCCTCAACACGTCGCAAATCCTTAATCGCAATTTTGCTGCTTTCTAAAAATGGCTTTGGATGGCATCTTCTTCTGGAGAACTGGCTTTTTCTTTCTTTGCTTTACCCACGGATTCACTTCATCTTCAGGTCAGTTTTAAAAAAATTAAAACCGTCTGCTGATTTTCAGATAAAAATACATTTTGACCAAGCTCTATAGGTTTACGTCTTAACTGTACGTCCTCAGAAATTCTTAAAAAACCAATGTACGAATGAGAATGAAATATTTTATTTGACTTTATTTCGCAGTAAAACAAGCCGAATATGAGGAGACCATTTTGTATTTTCTGGAACTGTCCCAAATTAAAATTCATATGGTAGCTTTCTTTGTAATCCGTTTAGTTTTTCGGAAACACAAATGTTCTAATATTATTACACTTATTTTCTCTAACGCCTTGTAAACCCTTCAAATCCATAAATTTAATATTTTCAGTGTTGCTTTCAAGTCACTTCTGCAAATTTCAATCAGGGATGTGAAGTCCTACCGGATTCGAGATGTCCTTTCTCGGAATCTTTTACAAGCATTCTCGGAATCGACCCTTATATATCGCCTTGTGTTTACCTTATTACAGGAAGTTAACGATGCACTTTATTAACGCGATTATTGTTGTTTTACAGTACCTCTATTTCAATAACGAAACCTCGTCTGCTCATAGTTTCTCTTTCAACACCTAGGAGTCACTATCTGACATAAGAATTGAGTTCAAAATGTCTTTCGACTTGTCTTCGCACTGATCCGTTTCCCCGAGAGGATAGTTCTTCAGTCTTTCTTCTTAAAATATCCATTTACTTTTACTTCCTCGGTTTTTCCTGTAGATATGTATGTTGAGAAGTTTGTATTGCACATTGTTTTCGAAAATTTCGCGTTAATTTGATGTATGTAAACCTAACTTCTGGAAAATTCGCGTTAATTTTGTGTAACGTAAATTTTCTTCGCGTTGTCAACGTGCATCGTTAATTTCCTATAATAAGGTATCTCGACTGTCGTTCCTTTCTCAAATCCCCTACATACAGCAAATTATTTGATTAAACTTTTACAACCTTGATATTCTAGGTACACGTGTGATTCATTGAAATTTCCTTCAGTTGTTAGATTTCACGTGTGTATCACGGTTAGGGATCGCCCTTAATGTTTCGTGACACATAATCGTTATGTGTTAAGGTACCTTTTTTCTCTGATGGTACTCAATCATGCTGTATTAACTTACTTCCTTGTATAGATATCATTTTCAGAGTGATTTAGATAATTACTTCTTCTAACATGTGAGAAGGCCTTTCTCGTGATATGTTCTCTTCTCCAGAGAATCTAAAAGAAATAAATAAAAAAAACTTCAATGATTTCAAAACAATTCGAATACTAGCTAAGACGCGTACAGACAGCGTCGGATGAAATATCCTCTGTGTTTTCGTCCTTCTGGCGTTGGTGTACAACATTAATAATTTACTTTCACTAAATCTGATTTTAAAAAAGCTGAGTTTTTAGTCCAATGAATTATGGCTGCAGTGGCGGATCCAGGTGGAAGGGTCCGGGGGGTCGGGACCCCCCCCATCCCCTTTCAGACCTGACGCTTGTTTGAGACTGTTATCTTACATCGACAGGATCGTATATCACTTTTAAACAGGCTGACTTTTTTTTAAATGAAACGCTCATTGCATGATTTTTGCCACTAAACTAAATTCCAGGAATGTTAAAAAACGTAATGGTTTTGGGGTACCTCATTACAACAAAGTTCGCCCCTGCTTGCAAAGCAGTATTTCCCGCGCCAACTGCAACCGGCGTTCACAGATTGAGAAACAACTGGTCATCTATGCTTTCTCAGCTGGTCGACGAGAATACATTCTTCACGAGTAGAATTCAAGTACACGGTAAGGGACCAAGGAGTATTTATAAGGTGCAACCGTGACTGGGGGGAGGAGGTGTGGGGGCAAAGTAATTTGCCACGAAAAAGTTCAACAGTCCTTTCTGAAAGAAAAGGGTCCTTTTAAATACCCAATCGCAGACCTAACCTTTCATATACTTAAATTCGCGAACCCTCTACCCGTTTATAAATTATAGGAGGTAGCCCCGGAATGCATCATAAAGTAAACACTTTAACTCTCTTTTCTTTCAGCAAGCGGTAGGGAAGCTTACGGATCTGACGATGATTTTCACAAAAGAAATCTGTTACAACTTGGCGTTTCATAAAGTAGTTCATGTTCCGGTATGTCCCAAACTCTGAGTGAAGGCTGTTCAATCGGTGACGACTGTAGCACGATTACGTGCGATATGAATTTCGTTGAGACGCCAATCACATTCAAGCTAAAGGTATCAATTGTCATGCTATGGAATAGTAATAACCGACAGCAGTAATTCATCTGAGTCCTATATGAAAGAACTTCAAAAACTTAAAAGAAAGTAGATACCTTTTTCGGGCTAACTATTATTTTCTTAAATCTTCAGCGCTGAATTTCGTCATCACGGCCAGAATAATTCAAGCGCCATAAAACGTTTTGACTTCGCACTAACGTTTGTGTTACTGAGAGTCCTTTAGATTCCAGAACCAGAACGACTACAAGTGCGAGATTTTACTTAAAAATTTTTCGCGTAATAGACACCCCGAAAAGCTTCATAAGATTATACTTCTTATCACCAGAATAGGTGGCATGCAGTGACGTCTTTATTGAAGGAAGTTAATTCCTCATCGGTCCCGATCGCAAAATGATAAAACTTCTAACATTTGACAACTTGTTTCCTCCAATACGACATTCTTGCTGCTAACTCTCGTAAGAGAATGACGACGGCTATCACGTTTAAGCTGACTCACTGCGTAAGCGCGCACTACATAGTTTAAAAGTATTGAAAAAATCTTGTATTCGTAATCGATCTCATTCTAGAATCTAGCTTAGGTCTCTTTTACAGTCAAACTAAACAACGAGTGTATTACAGTCGAATTGAGCAGGATCTTAATTTTTCGCCGCGGAAGAGCAATAAAGGGTATATATTTCTCTCTTTTCACCAGGTGAATAAATGTGATGAGCCCGTCTCGGTAACTGCCTTGCTAGATGTCCCGGATCTCTAGAATGTCAAGTGGTCTCATACGTACAACAGTGACGATATCGTTAAAGTGCCCGGATTTATTACATTTTTGCCTTCTATCTTGTTTGCTGACGTGTATGTACAAGTTAAACTCAAAAGTAATGAGGACAGACTGTATCTTGAGGTAAATACTTCCTGTAAATTGAAATGCGTTTAATCTTTAGCAGTGGCAGTGTGAACTACACACTTCATCGGATGGGTCACTGCGGTAAGCCCAAAAGTGGAGTAACAGTGCGCTTCAACCAGTGGCGCCTAGCTTGTAAACTGACGTCTGAGCTTGCTGCCAGTAAATAAAGGAAAATGGGCTTATGTTTCTTCCCTTTCAACCACGACTTGACGTTTTATGACATGATATTGCATTATATTCTTTATTTTAACAGGTAAACCTTCTGGCCGGTAAACCATTTTTAGATAAACATCAGGATTATCCCGTAAATGTCATTGTCATCGAGGGAGACTTGCCCATTTCAAATGACCATTGTGGTAAGTTAATTTATCATATTATGATATTGATTCCACAGCAATTCAAATGGAAAAGTGCTTCATTCCTACTGTTATCCTGTTGATGTTGTTTTTGAAGAATGAGAGAGTGATTGCACTGGGGGAGGGGGCGGAATGAGGATGACACTCATCATCATCATGATACTCATCGCCTTGGTTTGGGGGGGTGAATTTTATTTTATTTTTGGCCTCATTTAGGATTTTTGTGACGGAAAGCTAATATTATCACCTGTACAAATATCCCTTAGGATTGCTTGTATAGAATTCGAAGTATCTAGAAAGAAAATTAAACTCAATCATATTATATTGAAAACAGCATTCAATTTAAAAAATCTTTCGCGCAATTTAAATCATTATAGGTCTAAAATGGTTCTGGTAATCGGTTGCCTTCTTCAAATGACCTCTATTAGGGGCCAAAAAAAGTCACGCCCAGATTAGTCTTCTTTAGCCGACGGCTATTCCCGTCCCTTTCATATGGGTGTCATCCCCCGGGATTACACTCCACGGTGATAGGTAATGCAGTAGAATCCCGACTCCCCGACCCACCGATTCTCAAAACTTGAAGCCAACTTGCTAGTAGACTGCTTACTCTAGATCCTAGCAGGTGATGGTGTCGAATGGCTATGTAGGCGGTCTATACTCACAATCTGAACGCAGACCTGCAGAAGCGAAGGTGGTCGAAAAGCGGTCGCGACCGATAGCAGAGTGACCACCATTGAGAAAACATAACGAAAAACGAACTTGATTGCAAAGAAATCAAGCTGAATAGTTATTATATCTTTCATCATAAAGACTATGTTCCTTTTAATAGGGATCTTCGAGTGGTGGTACGACTTGTCCGTTGGTGGAAAGGTAGCGGTGATTGCTGTGCCGTTGTTGGTCTTCATTTCACTAATCATATGCTGTTACTGCTGCCGTTGCAAAGTCTTTGCTGTTACAAAATGCCGCTGTCGTTAGCATTAACAGCATGCACTGTGTGTTATTGCGACTGCTGGTAAACGACGCGAGGCTTTACGTCAATCCTAAACTATCCTAGTAATGATAATAATACCGTTTATTCCATTAAGTTTGTAGAAAACTGAATTGTCAAGTGGTAATAGTGCACTAACAATTTAAATTATCATCTACACTGATCTTAATAGATAATTGTGGATTCGTTTACAATAATCTATATGCATTTATCTGCATAATAATATATCTAAACGTAATGACGCCCTCAGTTTTCTTTGTCTCTTTATTAAGGTTATTTCGTTCCGGCTTATCGCATCTGAGGGCATATTGAGGCCGATTTCGGGGCGCTAGCACCAGGCGCGAGTTTCTCGTTTCTCGCGTTTACTCCCCAAATCCAGCCAGAGTGCCCCCAATAACGCCTGCTGTACAACCTAACTAGCGGAGGCTTAGGGCATAATAAGACAGCGGATGAATGACACAAATTTGTCGGTGAGATCTGGTGAGATCTGAATAACTCAAGGCCCGATTTAGACTGCTCCTTGGTAACTAAGATGCGGAAACACTATCCATAAAATTCTCCTCTGTACGGATTCTGGTCTAGCAGTCACCTTACCTAAATTACCGGTTGCATCGCAGTTAAAGAGGTAAAAATGCTTTTGTGGACTGTTTGGTGAGCCTTGAATAGCTTTCCATGTTTACGTAGTTGTTGCTTTCGTCTTCAATTTAAGTTCTGGATACACGGAAGAGGCACATTTCCAGGAATCTTGCAAGATTTCTCTGATCACGCGACACAAACCTCCTCGTCATAGGAAAACGGCAAAAGTTTAAGAAATGCCAAAGTTTAAATTAAAGATGTAAGTACAAAAATGATATGAACATGTAAAATGAAGATGGTAAATAAAAAAACACGCTTTTTCACTTTTTCAAGTTTTCTTAAGCAGAGAGAAGATAGACCCTTCCGTGGTTTTTTCAACTTTTGACATATGGACCAATTACGGAAATTAGTCGACACCACTGGAAAGAGCGCGTTAAAATTACAAGTGATACGTTTTATACGAGCGAAGATAAGGTATTCCTTCGCAAAGTTGCCAAAAATTTACAGACGTTTGTATCGTTTGTCCCCCCCCCCCCCCCCCCCCCAACCACCACCACCGTACAATTGTGTGTTAAATGTGGCGGCTTTGAGGAGCTATATCTTCGTTACTTTTGAACAAATCGTATGCAAACTTGACAATCGTACTAATCTATAGGCGCTCTTCCAGCGAAATTGACAGATTTTCCCTCACTTGCCATGTCAAAAGTTGAAAAAACCTTGGAAGGTCTAATGTAGAAAAGCACCAACTTCCTGTTTGTTGATAACAATAACGTGCTCTTCATGGAAAACCGACGTACGAATGAGAGTGGATTTAAAAAAATTAAAAGGATTAAGAAAAGCTGATGGAGCGGTGGCCTTATTATATCTGACTTAAATTAGTAAAACAGAGTTAAATGTTAAATTACGTACTAAACCATTTTGACCAATTAATAACTAATCATTGTTTTCTGTGAAAAGTTTCAAGAAAGAGCAAGAAATGTTGTATAAGTCGGGCAGACTATAATAGAAAAGTTTAAGATCGCCAAACATATCTTTAGATCTTTAGGTGCAACGCTGTCCTAAGCCGAGGCAACTATGGAACATCAATTTAACGAAGTGCCAAGGGCTAGAGAAATTTGTTCGTTATATCGAGGGTTCGTTATATCGAAAACCTCAATTTAACGAATTTTTAGCGATCTTTCGGTCACATGTTGACAGTTATCACTGAGTTATTCGTTATATCGAGACATATTTTACGTTTCCATTCGTTATAACGAGGATTTCGTTAAATCGAGGTTCGTTATCACCGAAGTTCTTTTCGATACATTTCATTGAAATTTTGGCGGGGCTGGACAAAATTTCGTTAATAATCGAGGTTCCACTATACCGTAACACCTCCCTCTATTTCTCCTAGTCCTTGAGTTTTCATTATGATAATTGTAAGGGATCTGTATGTAAGCCGCTCCTCCCCAATGATGAGATGGATAAACTAGCCCTGAATCCGTGGCTGACGATACAATGATCAAATTTGAGTCATGTAAGGCAATCCGAGACAGTCTTGGATCCTGGATTCCACGCCCTGGATTCCGGATTCCAGGTACTGTATTCTAGTCGTGAGTGGAACTTAGTGGGATTCTGGATTGAGCTGGATTGAGCTGGATTCTGTATTCCAAAGACCAGAATCCTGGATTCCACAAGCAAAAATTTCCAGGACTCTGGAATCCCCATTCCCTTAGATGATGTTGCACTGCACGATTCGCAACGACGATCTTTAGAGCAACACAGCGTTGCAATGTTGGAAAAATGTTGTACCTATTCAAAACAATGTCGCAGCAATGTTGCAATGCTGTGTTGCGCTAAGAATCGTTATCGCCAATCGTCTCGTATAACATCACCTCTACATAGGGCAGGGGTGTAGTCAGCCCACAGACCTGTAGACCAGGGCCTACACAATTTTTGGTTTGATCACTCTACCGCTTGTAAAAAATTATGCATTGTTGGGGTGTGCTAAAAAAGCTTAAGAGATCAAAGTGTCGGTGAGGTCAGTGCGTACTAGTCATGCGTGAAATTTTCAGGATATGTGGATATGAAAGTCAGCCAGGCCTGCAACTAGTCAAAAAGCTGGCTACGCCACTTTAGGGAAATCAAATTCTCTTTCAAGAGTTCAGAATCAGAATCATTTGCATTGACACAGTATTTCGTTGGCGTGGCTCTTTCGCTTCGCTCTGCTAGGTCGTGCCAGACGTTAAAGAACCCCAATGAAGGTGGCTGAACACAGTTTTGCGGGTGGTCAGCAGTACCTCGCGTGACAGCACGAGTTTAAAATTAAACAAACAAACATCGCGGCGAAAAAGCAATGGTACACCGGAGACAATTTCTCAAAATCTACCAATAAGGGACTAAGACCAGTCAATTTAAAGACCTTTTTCAACTCATACCCAATAAGTAAAGCATGGTAGAACTGTCTTACAGTATAATTCCCAATAACGCAACTGTTTATCTTCAAAGATTGTGAGCCTGCTTACTAAGCTTGCAAGGGGGCGGGGTTCACCTGAAGGAAATCGTACCGTACTTAAGCGCTTAAAACATCCGCTTATCGATCCTTTTCGGTGGTAAATTGAATGTAGCAAAGTTTGCTTTTTTAAAACACATCTCTTTGTTTGTACTTTCAAGTAAAGATTCAGTCTGAGAATTGAGCTCTTGGCATCTTGATGAAGTCCACCTAGTTAAGAATGCGTTAAGAAAGATCTTTCGATGGAGGCGTTGGCGTCATTAACATTGGTTATTACAGTGAAAGTCTTTTCCATCAGCAAATTCTATTCTCCTCAATTAACAACGACTTAAACGTTACGGCCTAAGCCCGTAGGGTAGGAAGTGCCTAAAACTATTGGAAATTTTGCATATCACCTCTTGCAACAACATTTCTTGCTTTTATCAATTCGTTTACATCACTTTTAGTTCAATAGCTCATAGTGGGTTACAACTGGCATGGCCTACCTGAGAGGTATCTATTTTACGAACTAATACCGTCCTTTTCTTATTCATTCAAAATACTTCTCCGTTTCCGATTGGTAATCCCCGGGATAATTCTCATAATCTGCTGGCGATATTGGACCAATGACGTCACCTATACAGAAGATGGACAGAAAAGGGCACGGGAACCCGTAAGGCCCCTTGGGACGAGGTTGAGCGCAGCAGCTCTACTGTTTGAAAGAGATGGAGAAAATGGCGAAAATGAAGAAAAATTTAGACGTTTTGCGAACTACTTCCTAAAGCATACCAAGAACAGCAAAAATATAACTCGACGCACTGACAACTGCTATTTGAAGAATATCTAAAAGACTTATAATATATATGCATATAAGGAAAGTTCATGTCCATCGAGGAAAGCATAAGTGCGAAATATTTTGAATAAATATGGAAAGCATTATTAGATTCGCCTTTTAAGTTCATCCAAAATAGCCAGTAATAAATTAAGTTAGCTGCCTCTGAACCTATCACTGCACCAACCCCATAAGAAACCAAGGCAGCGAACCAGATACAAAAAACAGGTGATCATGCATTCTTTGAACATGCACCAGCAAAAAATGAGGCAGCAGTGACACATGGACAAGCAATTCCGGCATCTGGACTTGCAGTTGTAGCCTCTGATTGCTGGTCTCGGTAGTGTGCGCTTGTCATACGAAAACTTAACTGCGGGATCGCCACCAGTACGGAAGAACTTCACTGTGTGGACAGCATAGGGCTTCAGATCTTCCATCACGATTGACGCCTGTCTCTCTGAAGGTCGCCACCCATCTTTTCGCTGCAAGACGTCCTCATCGTTGTAAGAAATCTCTCCATAACGTACTTTTGTCTCCAGTAACACGGTCTCTGTCTCAACACCAGCTGATCTCCCACTAGAAACCGAACTAGTTGCTACAATATAAAAAAAAAAACACACTTTAGGATCCATGCTTTGGTCACTATATTTTGTCGCGCCATTTATTAAGAGTTTTGTGGTGCCATTTAACCGTGCCCCGGTTTGCTCAGTCAGTTGGATATTAAGCACCGTTCTGCCGAACAGGAGGCCGCTGGTTCAAGCTCCGGCCGGTGCTGCCTTCGTGAAGACTCTCTAGTTTTCTCTGATAAGGACAATAAACTGTAGGCCCCGTCTCACAACCTTTGCATGTGAACGTTCTTTGGGACGCTGAAGAGCTTAATTTACTTACATTATCTATTTATCTATCTATCTATCTATCTATCTATCTATCTATCTATCTATCTATCTATCTATCTATCTGTCTATCTATCTATCTATCTATCTATCTATCTATCTATCTATCTATCTATCTATCTAAAGAGAAGGGGATGTAGTCCCTAATGTGGTGGCCTATCTCTCATGGGGGAAGCAACTTTTACGGATCCTCAGCAATTAGCGTCATGCTATTGCGGTGACCCTGCCAAGAATTGGTCAATCTAATGAAATAGATCTGCTAATAAAAACAGCGCTACTGATATCGTGCTAGCACTGAACAACAATCGATATCTGCGATTATCCCAGTCATTTACGTCATTCTCTCACAAGGACCGGGCCTTCCGCTTTGTGTAGATACATTAAAATTATTTAGCATCTTTTTCCATGTCCCTTTAACCGACAAAGTTTAAACCTATTTCCCCTTAAATAATTTACATAAATTAATTACAATAAGCGAAAGGCTTTTACCTCCGTAAATGACTTCTTCGTCGTTTTGAATAAGAATTTCTGTATCACTTTCCACTAAAGACGACTATGCAAAGAATCGAAAAACAGCAAAAGTGAAAAGTAAGACTTCACTTAAAGTTTTTTCGGTGAAAAAGTTTACAAACTAATTAGAGGCGCTAGAATCAGATAAACTTACACTCTGGGCGCACCCTGGAAGGGTGCAGTCAGAGAAGAAAAAGGCTGGGAAGGCAGCGAGTATCATTGCGTCTTTTTAGAGAATACTCATTAAGTAAGCCCGTTACTTCTTGTTCAAGGGACATGATAACTTCCAGAGAACCTCAATGGAGGCTGTTGGTTTTGGAGGAGGATTTGGCTTTGAATTATCTCATGGGATCAAATTGAATATATCCTAGGCGTCTTTATTCATTGGGCTTCTGAAGTTAAAAGGTGACCAAAAAGGTATTCCCTCATGAATATCCCCGCTTCCTTCAACTAATTTTTTTTTTTATTCCGCTTGTAAGCCTCCTCTTGTTATAAGCCCATGCACCCAATACTCCTTACCAAATTGTATAAACCCGGGGCTTAAAACTGGGATCTTTCAGTAAGTACCCATAGGTCGTACCTTTTGCCTCACATTCCTGCCTGCAAAGGTGATCACAGGTGTTTTGGGTTTCGACACGCGCTGCTGAGGTATCACTGGTGGTATGGGCTTTGGCAAGGGTTGGGGAGCTTTAGGTTCTATAGGCTTCGGCAAGGGCCTGGGAGGTGTGTATTCAAACTTGGATCCTCTTTTGCTCGGATCGAGAAAATGCCGCATCGCTTCCTCGTGGATCATTCGGTGTTTTTCATCCCAAGAGAAGATAAAGCTTTGCCTTCCATCCATATACTCCTCACTGAACTGCGAAGCCACCTTCCTTCTCGCCCAGCGCGAGATAACAGACCGCGCTTCTTCGTTTTCATCTCTGTAATAACTGTCTCCGCCTATCACGATCAGCACGTTATCATCTTAAGCAAAAACAGAATGAAAATGAAGAATCGTCAGTCCTACGAAATCTATCGCGGAAACACTTTCGATTTCGATAGGCACACTGGCCCAAAATACACTTTTCAGAGAAATTTCCATCTTAAGACTGCTCCCGGAAGTATTTTGTGACTGTCGTACAAACAAGTCTTTCCAAGAAACGAGTCCTTTCTTTCGCGAGGCATTGCCGCGTGTGTCACATGACTTCGTGCGATTCAAATCGAAAGTGCTTCAAGGTTGTTTACATCTTTATATACCTTATCCATCGAAACTATTTTCGATCCGCCATATCTTTCATTAAAAAACGAACTTAAAAGGCGTTTTATTACTAAATTAGCTTTCACACTGACAGTATCGGTTATTGAAATAGAGACAAGGGGCATCGGGACTTCCTCCTTTCTTATGTGAGGTTTGCATGTTTAACGCCTAGCGGCATGTAACGCATAATGCGTTAACTAATTAAACCGTTCCCTCATGCAAGTATTACCGTGCCGTACGTTTCATTGCACTAGATATGTTTTAGTAAAATTACCAACTATTTTTTTCATGCGAGAAACTTTAACTGAATCAGCTGAAAGAAAAAATTGCCAATCACCAGTGTGCGTATTTAACGGCAGAATCAGTGGAAGTGGAAGTACTTTATATTGAAACCCACCCGTTTTTTGAAGCAAAGCTCGGTAGAATCTCGCGTAACCAATGCCAGCGTTGTCTTCGTTGATGGAGAGACGAGATTCGTTTGCATGCACAACAAAGACAGCGACGTCCATCACCAGCTTGGGTAACGTATTCTCGCAAACTTCAACCATTCGTTGTAGTCCAAAATTAAGACGATCAATTGAGATTTTGAAACCATATTTTTCCTCTACTTGAAGCAAAAAATTTTCCACTATTTCTAACTTATAAGTGTTGTCGCAGTTAAAAATGTAAAACCTTTTCAACTGATGCGACATTTTGTCGCACCGCCGCTGTGCTCCACGCGTGTCTGTCATCGTTTTTTTTTTTTCTGTTTGTTTGGGAATTTCCCGGAAATTGTCACGCTAGCCCCGCGAATATTCAAGCTTGAACCATAAAAACACACAGCAGTAGCATAAAAATCATCTATAGCATAGAAAACGTGTGACCTAACAATTGTTCCGATATTTTGTATGGAGCCCGAAGAAGCCCGCCTTGCTTGTATTATACGTGAGCACTTTTTTCTTGAAAATCTCGTCAAAATGTCATTCGATTTTAAAAATAAAGTTCTCAGAACGAAGAGTTTTTGAGAATTTTTTGGTGATTATTAGAATATTTGTAATCAACAAAAGTTTGAAGGGCAAATTTTAAAAGTTATGGGAAAATGAGAAACTATTGGTTTAAGGGTATAGTTGAAAATTAAAACTTGAAGTGAATAATCAGTTTGCAGTCTTTAAAATAGATAAAGGACCAGACAATCCGCCACCTCACATGTGTAATGCACATATATATATGAGCCAAAGACTTGTTTCCCTCCCGTTTGGGAGGTTGTTATTTGTTGTATAGTACGAGGCAGAGCCTCGTTTCGGTGTAAAAGTCATTTAGCCTCAGAATTAGTAGAATGAGTCAAAAACATCCAAGTGTTATAGAGAGCATTGAATTTTGGTATTATTTTCACGCCGCTGTACTTGTGAATTCGCTTTTATTTCATTCCGAAGGTCTCCTTAAGGACCCTCTGACCTTCCAAAGATCCGTAAGAGACATTCTGAGAGGTCAATTTTCAAGATAAATAGTCTGGAGCCAATTTTTGCAATGCAAAAAAACATCAATTTCTATTTGACTTATACATACACATACACTCATATACACAGAAGATATTCCCCCAAAATTGTTTGGGTAGGATTATGTCACATGCAAGAGGAAAAGAACGCAAGCACATATAGATATAGATACGAGGGTACAATTTGCCATACCCATTGGGATTTAAAGGATTTGAGCAGAAAACTTAAACCTCTGTTTTTGATCGGTGGAACCTCAATGTAACTAATCTCTACATAACGATGTCCTCGGTATAACAAACGATTTTCTTCAACCCAGTAATAGTAAAATAAATGAAAAAGAACCTGATATAACGAAACCTCGATACAGCGAACAAATTTTGCCAGTCCCTCGGCCTTTCGTTATATGTAGGTTCCACGTTGCTCCTCTTAAGTGCTTTTAAAACGACAACAAATTCCTTGAGCCTAAATGACTTCAAGCGATGGATTTTCCTTACAATTTCGCTCCAAGAAAAGAATTCCGGATTCCGTAATTCGTGAATTGTTTTACTTGAGGAATTCGGAATCCAGGAGTTTTTGCTTGCGCAATCCGGAATCCTGGACTTTGAAAATTGAAATTCTGAATTCAGCTCGAGAATCCGGAAACCCACTACAGATTGGAATCCGGAATCCACGTTCCAGTGACAAAGAATCCGGAATCCAGTACCCTGAATCCAGAATCCACGGTGTGGAATCCAGAATCCAAGACTTTTCTTGGATTCCCTTTCATCGGACGAAAGATCTTTGTAGCTTGTCTCCTCCCGTTTCATCTTAAATTTCAGATTTGACCAATTCCCATAAAATGTGTACACTCGTCTGGATCCGCGCTTGGTGGTTGTGGAATGGAATCAAATTATCTTTCAAGAGCTCAGAATTAGAATATTTTTGCATTGATTATTTCCTTGCCGTTGCACCTTTCGTTCAATTTAGCTACGTCATGCCCGACGTTGACGAGCCCTGAAAAAGCTGAAAGATGAACTGGCAGTTTCTGGTTTCTAAACCATGCACGGTTTGGCCGTACACTGGTACAATAACGTTATTATCTCTCCCGAAAGGGCTATTCGGAGATCATTTACAAAAAAGACAGGATCAGAAAGAAAAAATAGTTACTATAATTACAACCATAAATTCGTGTATCGTAGAAACTCGCCAAGCTCGGGGGGGAGGTCCATTAAATGTCAGAGATGGAAGGGGGAGAGAATTGGAGTACATTGTGTAGCTTGGGAGAGCGGGTCGCAACACTGGCTCTAATATTGGAATGTGATATGTAGTTAATCTCCTTTTGGTTGGAGTAAATTTGAACCCGGTGCGCTGTTGGGTTTTCTGGGATTAAATTGGGGTTGGTGTTGTTAAGGAAGGATGGCCAATGTCTAATAGGTCCTCCGTTCACCCCAATTGACGCTCCTACATGTGTAACTATAGTAAAAAAAAAACATGGGTGTGATAGTGAATAACTGCAGGTCAATATGCAGCTAACCCATGCCATCTTAATAAGTGTAATAAAAATTACTTGTAAATTGTGTCATTATTAGTGAGTGGTTGAAATGGCAGGAGGTAATGCTGCAGTGAAAAGAACAAGTAAATGCTGGTAATCTGCGAAAAATATTTATTGTTAGGTGAACTACAGCAATGATCAAGATTATTTGCATTTGTTGTAGTACATAATCCAGAGATGCAAACCTCTGGAATTCTAAAATCTGGAGACTCTTTCTTTTGCAGTCCCCCCTCTCCCTTCGAATGTCAACGATTAACCCCCCAGCCTATAAGCAAAATTCGATCCAGTCACCGATCGGCTTCGATCAGGGGACATTATATGAAGTGTCACATGAGGTGCAGACCATCACAAGTAGCTTTTATGATTGTAATGGCGAAATAATCTTAGTCAGTGATGAAAGACGACCGAAAATGCCCCAGAAACCCACCTTTGAATCAAAGAAAATTCGAATTTTGGGAGAAAATGGGATACATTCCAAATTAAAGCACAGAAAAGTTCATAACTCGATTTTATCCGGGAGATTTGGTGACCCGTTCAAGAGACCGGGAGATCTGTGGTCGTATCCGGGAGAGTTGGCAAGTATGGTAATCACACTTTGACAACTTAATTGTTTTTAATAGTTAGGTGCAAGCAAAATGACTTACTCTAAAATAGAAATTACATGTAGCAATGTCATTAAGAATGCAGTTGAGGAGAATTGTGAAAGTGATCATGACTCGTGATTACCCCCGGTATTGAATATGTGGTACCCTCATTAGCACAGAAACATCCCCGAAAGAGTACCAAATTATTCACAGTTATTTGCGTATATGTACATGCATGAGAAACAAATACCTATGCAAGAGTGAATTTGTTTGAAATGTTAACATACAGAATATAGACACGAAACGGTACGGTAAGCCGTGAGTCCCCTTAGGACGTCGACGAGGTTGGGCGCGACAGATCGGCTGTTTTTTGAAATTGAAAGAGCTTAAAAGGGCCGAAACTGCCTACCTACCCCTTCCCTAAGCTAACATTAACACTTCTCACTTAGGGCAAAATGATGGCTTAGGGAAGGGGTAGGTGGACAGTTTCCCAGCAACCGAAATTGATGCAAAAAATTGTAACGGTTTCCAAACTGTTTCCTAAACTAAAAGCATATCAAGAACAACAAAAAACTAGACGCTATTTGAAGAATATCTGCAAGACTAAACAGCTTTCTTTATTCTTGAATTTGCCGAAGACGGGAAGTTGACGTCAATCGAGGTAAGCATATTTTTAAAGTATGAAATATTTTCAATGAATAATAAAAGAATTATTAGACTCGGATTTCAGCTTTTCCCAAAAATGGTTAATAATAAAAGAAAATTATTTTAACGGCCTCTGAACCTATCAGTACACCAACCCCATAAGGAACCAAGGCAGCGAACCAGGGCTAAATAACACGTGACCATGCATTCGTTAAACATGGCACAGCAAAGGAAGAGGTGCACGCAGAAGCAGCAGCAACAGGTGAGCATACATTTCTGGCATCTGGACTTTTTATTGAACTCTTTAATGGATCTTTCACTGTAGTCCTCCAAAACACCGCGAACACACACCACGCAGCACTCCCGCAGGGGATCCTGGGGTCCCAGCTTGTCATAGGAAAACTTAACTACGGGATCATCACCAGTACGGAAGAACTTCACTGTGCGGACAGCATAGGGCTTCAGATCTTCCATCACGATCGACACCTGTCTCTCTGAAGGTCGCCACCCACCTTTACGCTGTAGGACGTCCTTGGCGTTGTACGAAATCTCTCCGTAACGTACTTTTGTTTCCAGAAAAACGGTTTCTACCTCGACACCAGCTGATCTCCCACTAATAACCGAACTTATCGCTACAATATAAAAAACACGTACATTTAAGGAGTTATCTTTTAATCACTAAATTATCAGGACTTGCTGGGCAAGTAACATTAAAAGCTTCCTTGTCCAATAAGGAAGGGTCCAGGCAAGTCATCCCGTGACAAAATCAAAAACTCAGAGGAGCAAGAAGTAGCCCTGGGCAGCAAAGTGCGAAATCAGCTTGCCGAAGTACTAGCTTGAATTAAAGTTTTTTCGAGCCCTGATTTTGTCGTTCCATTTATGAATAATCTGCTAATGAAACAGCGCAACTGATAGCCTGCTTACGCTGATCATCGACATCTGCGATTATCCAAGTCATTGACGTCATTCTCTCACGGGGACCGGCCCTTCCGCTTTGTGCAGATAGATTAAAATTACTCAGCATCTTTTATTTTTCAAGCTTCAGTCCATTTATTTAAGGACCGATTTTGAATATCCTTTTTGGTTTTCATTACTACAAATAAACTTAATATGTTTTTTTATGTTTCCTTGAACCGAGAAAGCAAGACACAGAATTAAAAGTGTGAGGCTTTTTACTACTTACTCAGTACTATACTGTACATACAATCATAAAATAACTGCATACATCGACAAGGGCACATGATACGAGGTTCAAAGGTCCTTAGCCAAACTTATTTCTTTAAGTCATTAATTATAACAAGCGAAAGACTTTCACCTCGGTAAGTATCTTGTTCGTTGTCTTGGATAAGAATTTCTGTGTTACTTTCCACCAAAGACGACTATATGCGAAGGATGGAAAAACAACATAAGTTAAAGTAATAAAATAAATTCATTTTAGTTAAAGTTTTTTGGTGAAAACTTTACAAACTAAATTCGATCTTCTTACACTTAAGCCGGATCGAGGAAGGGTGCGGCCAGAAAAGAAGGACTAGACATGAAGAACGCCGGAAAGGCCAGCGTTATCATTATCAGTGTGTCTTTTTGGAGAATACTCGCTTAGCCACTACTATTTTTAAAGGTCATACTAACTCCATTTTTCGTTTCAAGCTGATTGGCTACTGAAAGAGTATCTCGATGCAATGATGCGGTTGGGGCCTGTTGGTGTCGGAAGAGGGTGTGGCTTTCAATTATCTCAGGGAACTAGATATATTTTAGACTTCTTTACTCATTGGGCTTAAAAAGTGAGAGGTGACCAAGAAGGTTTTCTAACATGAGCATCCCTGTCATAAGCTCTTCCTACCTTCATCTTCGAAACTTTTTTCTTCCGCTATTAAGCCTCCTCTTGTTATAAGCCCACCCAATACTCCTTAGCAAATTGTATAAGCCCAGGTCTTAAAACCGGGATCTTCCAGTAAGTTCCCAGGAATAAAAGGTGAAGACTATAGCTCTTACTTCTTGCCTCATATTCCTGCCTGCAAAGGTGACCACAGGTGTTTTCGGCTTCGACAGGTGATGCAGGATCACAGGCGGTATGGGCTTTGGCAAGGGCCTGGGAAGTGTGTACTCAAACTTGGATCCCCTTTTGCCAGGATCAAGGAAATGCCGCATTGCTTCCTCGTGAATCATTCGGTGCTTTTTATCCCAAGAGAAGATAAAGCTTTGCCTTCCATCCAGATACTCCTCACGGAACTGAGAAGCCACCTTCTTTCTCGCCCAGCGCGAGATGACAGACTGCACTTCTTCGTTTTCATCTCTGTAGTAACTGTCTCCGCCTATCACGATTAGCACGTTATCATCTAAAACAAAAACAGAATAAAGAATGGAACGTGAACATTTTATATACGCTTATCTAATTGGATAATTCCAAACACCGCTCACGCGCAATCAGTAGACTATCTGAGGGTAGGAACATCCATGTTTTTTCATGCAATATTGATTACCCGATTCACCTGAGTCCATGTTCGAGTTCAACACGCAACACGTAATCATCAAGTTTCCTGAGCGCACGCCAGATTGCCCAGAACCGAAAGCTTTCTAAAATTATTCCTTCAAATGACGCATCACAATACCCATGAAGAGGCGAATAGGTGAGAGATTTAAGTGGCCTTAAAGAGCTGGCGTTTCAATGGCGAATCAGTGCGCCGTTCATCGGTGCGGGAGAGATTTGTGAGTCAAGACTGCACGCAGTCACTTGCCTTGCTTCGCTTTATGTAGGAAAACAACACCGAATAAACAAGTGCCGTAAAACCGTATAAAACGGTCACGAATTGAGCCCAGATTACACAGAAAAAGCAACAAGAGGCCCAAGTTTACGAAAGTACAATTTATTTCTATATTTATGCCTATATTTCTACGTTTTAACAGCTATACTGAATTTCTCATACCAATTCTTCAAATCGTTCATAATATGCCAAACAATATCGAAACTCGCGGTAATTTATGCACCGGGCTTGGGCCTTCTGTGCAATCATCTGCCTTGCTTCGCTTTACGTAGGAAAACAACACCGAATAAACAACGTGCCGTAAAACCGCATAAAACGGCCATGAAGTGAGCCCAGATTACACAGAAAAAGCAACAACAGGCCCAAATTTACGAAAGCACAAATTTATTTCTATATTTATGGCTATATAGCTATATTGAATTTCTCATACAAAAACAGTATCGAAACTCGCGGTAATTTATGCACCGAGCTTGGGCCGCCTGTGGTAACACCTGTACAAAATGGTAACAACTGAATAAACTGGTTGTTTCCATTTGCCTGACAGAAGAGTATCGGGAAAAGAATCTCGCGTTGATCATACGTGACAAAATCCGCCGCGCCTAAACTAATGAGGAAAAGTCTCCTGGAAGGCTCCATACAATTCCTTATTATAATAAAATTATGAGGAACTGTATGGAGCTCTCCGTGATGATATGCTTTTCTTCATTAGTTTAGAAGCGGCGTGTCATATGAACTGATGCTCTTGAAACTAAAGTGCTTCAGGAGTGTTTATGTCTTTACCTTCCTAATCGATTAACTATTTTCCATTCTGACCATATCTTATATTATAAAAAGGACTTTGAAAGCGTTTTATTAACTAATTAAGCCTTCACAGTACAGATTATGAATAAAAAGAAGGGGTCTCGGGACTTCCGGTTTCTTCTGCACTTGTATCAACATCTCATTCTGTCCGTGAACTATTAAAGCATCCGTCGAACAAGTTTTATATTGCCGTGTCTTACGTTTTAAACTAGATATGTATTAGTAAAATTACCAACCATATGTGAGTGCGTTTTTAAAACATATGTACCGAGTCAGTGGAAGGCAAGCTAAGTATATTACCAATGAACAATGTGCGTATCTAAAACTGCGTTTAACCAAATTATGCAGTGGAAAGCGAGCCATTAAGAGGTAGCTGAAGCCCACCTGTTTTTTTAAGCAAAGTTCGATAGATTCTCGCGTAACCAATCCCAACGTTGTCTTCGTTGATAGAGAGACGAGATTCGTTTGCGTTAACAACAAAGACAGCGACGTCCATATCCAGTGTAGGTATAATCCTGTCGCACACCTCAGCCATTCGTAGCAGGCCAAAATAACGACGATCAACGGAGAATTTGAAGCCATATTTTTCCTCTACTTCAAGCAAAAACGTCTCTACTATTTGTAAATTGTAAGTGTTGTCACAATTAAAAAGGTAAAACCTTTTCTGCAGATATGACATCTTGTCGCACCACCGCTGTTCTCCACGCTTGTCTGTAGTCAATTTTTGTAATGTTTTTGTTTGGGAATTTCCGGGAGATGGTCACTCCCCACTTTTGATAATTCTAACATGACTCCGAGGCCTTCTGGGCATATTCCTTTATTTTGTTTGATTTTCTTTGTGCTCAAGTCTCTTCTGAGAATCTCGACACAATGGAATCGTGAAAAATGCGCAATTTTTACCATAAACCTCGGAATCGCACGTTGTTACTTGTTACAAGTACTTAATACAAAATTTGGGGGGGAGGGGGGAGGGGGGGTAAAGACGGTAAACAGTGTATAAGCTGGGGAGTAATATAGATAATCTAAGCTCCTTATTACTCTCACTACCTATGAACTTCCACGCTGCCTAATGTTCCATTGGATAGGAGCTGTACTGCCCGACGTTTATCAGCAAGCTTGTGCCAGTCTATGAATTGTACAATGAAGTCAAGTGGTACCTCTATTCAGGGGACACCTTAGGACCGAGGTGAGCGTCCCCTGAGTTAAGGTATCCAACAACAATGAGACAAATATGTTGGACTGGTACACATGAACAGGACCTCGTCGCTTTTATTTCCTATGATTCCGAAGTTACAATGGTAATGGTGTCTTGGGTTCTTTCCTACTCGCTAAGGACGCAGAGAGAAATGTCAACTTTATTGCTTCTCTAAATGCCCATGAAAATAATCTTCGGAGCTAACAATTCTGCCTAGTTTGGACTAAAAAGGCACAGAAAAGAAAAGGTTACATAATTCGTTGATTTTTTTTGTTTGTTTTTAACCTGTTGGCGGGCTTTTTATGTTATTATTATAGATGTTTTTTTTCAAAGCTTGTAGAAAATACGGAATATACAGTTTGAAAATAAATTAGTGAAGAAAATGAAAATGACCTCTGAGAATTAGGGTGGGTAATAGATTTCCGTTTATTTGTGATCAATAAAAGAGGAAAGCCAGCTCGATAGAGGCGTTAGAGTCATTTACATCCGTTATCATGGCGAGTTCCTTCATCCGTCTCTATTCTCTTCATTTATCAACGATAGGACAAAATGTTATTACATTTAGGGTCGTTTATTACATTTAGGCCTTCTACAGCATGCTCATTCGTCAGAATGCTGTTTTTCTGCCGGGACAAAATGTCATAATGTTGTCAAGGAACCAATCTGCACACTCCCCTGGCAGTCATTTACACTTGATCAACTTAAATATTTGGTGTAGCTGTAAATTAATCAACCATGGAATAAAGCCTTCGGGTCAACAATAAATTCAACGTTGGTAGTGTTGGCATAATCCACTATTTTTTTCTACGATTTTAGTACTTCTCCATCCTACTTCATTTTACTCTAAAATACACTTCCAGCTTGAAATACTCTCTGAGATCGCTGAGATGCATGTGAGTGGGATTATTAACCGATAGAATTAAAAATAAATTGGAAAAAAGTATTTTAATTAATGAGCATGCGCTTAACCGTGAACCTGTCCCCTTAAGCCTCAGTCCAAAGGGTGCGAAGTGCCTATAAATATTGGATTTTTTATCATCATTTGTAGCAACATTTCTTGCTGATATCAATTCGTTGACATCACTTAACATCAACAGATCATAGTTCTTACTTTTTTCGCAAATATATGTATAATTGGCTAATATAAGAGGTAAATTTACTGCTTTTTTACAAAATAATGCCTGTTCTTATTTATTCAAAATATTTTTCCGTTTCTGGTTGGCTCAAATCCCAAGGATAATCCTTCCTGATCAGCTAGCGTTGATCAAATGCGATATTTGTACCAATGAAGTCAGTATACAGAATATAGACAGGAAAGGGTACTGCAAACCGTAAGGCTCCTTAGTACGAGGTTGGGCGCGGCAGCTCAGCTGTTTTGGAAGGGCTGGGGGAAAGGGCAGAAAATTTTACACGGGTCGTTTACCATTTACATGGGCAAGCCGGTCGGTTCAGGATTTGGATAAATGGTTAGCAAAGGACTGGTGAATTTTGTCCCGGAATCGCGTTAACCATTGGTATAATTCAGTTCCATTTACCGGAAAACGGCCGCGAAGGCGTGAAACTGGTTTCACAATGGCTTTGAAGAAATGGAACACGAATTTCCGTTTGGAATATTCCATCCGGAAAAACAGGACTACCTTTTCAGTTAGTCCGTTGCTCCCGGAAATTTTCCGTTAGGAAGACCTAAAAAGTCGTGTTCCATTTACTTTCCAACCGGATTTCCGAACTGTTGCCTAAACTGAAGTAAAAGCATACCAAGAACAGCAAAAAAAAAATCGACGCTATTTGATGAATACCACAAGACTAAAAATCCTTTTTTATTCTTCAAATTGCCGAGAAATGGACACAGATGAAGACGGGAAGTTTTTACGTCAATCGAGGTAAGCATATTTTTAAAGTATGAAATATTTTGAATGAATAATGAAAGAATTATTAGACTCGGATTTTAAGCCTTATTCAAAAGTGGCTCATAATAATTAAAATTTAAAGTCCTCTGAACCTGTCAGTGCACCAACCCCTTAACGAGCCAAGGCAGCGAACCAGGCCTAAATAACTCGTGACCATACATTCTTTGAACATGCGACAGCAAAACCAGAGGCAACAGTGACAGATGAACATAAATCTCTGGCATCTGGACATTGCATTGTACCTTCTAATGGATGCTCTGCAGTGCTCCAAAAAACTTCTCAAAAGAAAGATAATGCCTCTGAACACCATGCCGCACACCATGGCGCAGACCTTCAGAAAGAGCCCTACCTGGGGATCTAAGGGTCTGAGCTTGTCATACGAAAACGTAACTGCGGTATCATCACCAGTATGGACGAACTTCACTGTGCGGACAGCATAGGGCTTCAGATCTTCCATCACGATTGACGCCTGTCTCTCTGAAGGTCGCCACCCATCTTTGCGCTGCAAGACGTCCTCATCGTTGTAAGAAATTTCTCCATAACGTACTTTTGTTTCCAGAAAAAACCGTTTCTACCTCGACACCAGCTGATCCCCCACTAGTAACCGAACTTATCGCTGCAATATAAAGAGAGACACGCATTTAAGGATTTATCTTTTGGTCGCTACATTATCAGGGCTTGCTGGGCGAAGTAACATTAAAAGCTTCCTTGTCCAATAAGCAAAGCTCCAGGCAAGTGATCTTGTGACCAAATCACTAACTCAGACGAGCAAGAAGTAGCCCTGGGCAGTAAAGTGTGAGAGCAGCTTGCCTAAAGGACTAGCTTGAATTTAAGTTATTTTCGAGCCCTGACTTTGTCGTTCCATTTAAGCACTGTTTTATTATAATAATAATAATAAAACAGTGCAACTGATAGCCTGCTCGCGCTGACCAACGATATCTGCGATTGTCCCAGTCATTGAAATCATTCTCTCACCCGGACCGGCCCTTCCGCTTTGTGCACATAGATTAAAATTACTTGGCATCTTTTCTTTTCAAAGTTTCAGTCTATTTGTTTAAGGACCGAATTTGATTAGCCTTGTTGGTTTCATTACTACAAATAAACTTATGTTTTGATAATAACAATAATAATAATAATAATAATAATAATAATGATAAAGTCTTTATTCATCAAAAGATAAAAATACATATCTTTTGTTACAAGTAAGTGTAAGAAATTTTAAAAAGTTAAAAAGTAAGAATTAAAAATATTTGACAATTATTCTTTGAAATGGAGGTGAATAGTGGCTAAATATTTTCCGAGCCGCGAAAGCGGCGAGGTAAATATTCCTAAAGCCACTATTCACCGAGATTGAAAAGAATAATTGTTTTAGTATATACACACGAAGTGATCTCAACTAAATCAGCGAGGAAACCGTTAAAAAGTACGATTTGATTGACAGATCAAATCACGCGAAAGTTTAAAAATAGATCTTTGTAGAATTTTCAAACATGGCAATTGACAAGCTTATCACTTCGCAAACAACCGCGTAATGGCATGAATGGAACCGTTAAAAGTTTGAATTGTTTCCTTACCTGAGAAGAAAAGAAGAGCCTTGTTATTTTCTGTTGACTCGCCGAGTTTATAGGCGGAAAGGTTTGTTGTGTTCTTCTTCGCATGAAGTGCTGACAAAAATGGCGGCTCGATTCCTCGAGGTAAGACGTCGTCTTCATGTAGCATTCTCTGTCCTATTTACTTGAAACTTAGAATTTCTGCAAACATTTGCTTTCAAATTTGTTTGTCATAAATAAACTTCAATTTTTGGGCCAAATTTTAGGAAACGCCGAGTTCACCAAACGGCCTCTTCTACGCGAATAAACGGGAGTTGTACACAATCCATCGACCACAAAACTCAGTTACAGTAAATGGAAAAACGTTGTTTTGAATCCTTCGAAGTCTTTTCTTGCCTAAGAAAAAGTCAACCCTAGGATTTTGTCGACTTTTAAAAGATCGTTCTCTAAAAAAAATGGGAAAAAAACCGAACTCACACATTATCCACTCGCTAGGAGGTGAATAGCTAGGTGGTGTTAGGCTTTGTGAAGGGCCGGTAAGTGCTGTTGTTAAGGTTAAAGGTGACGTCTAGGTTAGGGTTAGGGTCTAGCCATTTCTAATGCCGCACCGAGAGACACAGAAAACATCAAGAAGGAAATATGCCGTATCTTTAACCAAAATGGACTACGCATCACAATTGAAGCCAATAAACAGATCATTAACTTCCTAGACGTCACCTTTAACCTTAACAACAGCACTTACCGACCCTTCACAAAGCCTAACACCACGCTACAGTACGTCCATCGCGAGAGCAACCACCAACCGATCACCACAAAGAACATACTCGCCGGCATCAACAGACGGCTATCATCCCTTTCATCGGACAAAGCATCATTCGACCAAGCCTCCTCCCCGTACCAAAAAGCACTCGACGAAAGCGGATACCAGTACACTCTACACTACGAACCGACCACAACTGCTAAACGGAGAAACAGACAACGCAACAACATCCTCTGGTACAACCCCCCATTCAGCAAAAACGTCAACACCAACATCGGTCACAGATTCCTCACCCTAGTAGACAAACACTTCCCTAAAGAGAACAAACTCAGAAAAATCTTCAACCGCAATACCATCAAGATCAGTTACAGTTGCATGAATAACACTAAACAAATTATCGACAACCACAACAAGCGTATCCTGAATGCATCCAAACACACAGATAAATCCACAGATAACTCTGTTGACAACAAATCATGTAACTGCCGACAAAAAAACTCATGCCCTCTTAACGGAAACTGCCTTCAATCATCAGTTATCTACCAAGCAACCGTCAAACGTAACGACAATAACACTTCTGAAACATACATCGGACTCACAGAAAACGCCTTCAAAACTAGGTACAGAAACCACACTGCATCATTCCGTCACACAAAACACAGGAACTCTACGGAACTCAGTAAACATATCTGGTCCCTGAAAGACAACAACATTGTCTACTCTATTTCATGGCGTATGATTTCATTTAGCTCATCCTATAACAGTTCAAGTAAAAGGTGTAACCTTTGCCTCAAAGATAAATTTTTAATTATCTGTCGTCCCAATCTATCATCACTTAACAAACGTAACGAACTTGTATCTTCTTGCCGCCACAGAAACAAAGCGTTGCTATGTAACAATTAAACATTTAAATTTAAATTTTCCCCCGCAATGTAATCTCAAAGTATATAGTCGATGGTTATGAATATTCTTATCATTAAAATCCCCTGAAGAGTGAGAGATCACGAAACAGGCTTGTCGGGATGAAAGTGTAGTTTTTTTCCTACTTCCCATACTTATATCACGCTCTACTTTAAAGTATCGAGCACTCTACTACGGCAAAATCGAAACACAGACTTCCTATATATATATATCTATTAGATATCAGTTCGCTCTAGTTTACCTATTGAGCACTTTAATAGCTGATGAAATCTTCAATTCATTATATTACTATATTATATATATATATATAAACAAATCCAGGTAATTCACCGTTGGATCCAGAACAGTGCTCTACAATTAAGGAGCGGTATGGAGTTTTACTGATGAGTGGATCAATTTTTTGTTGGTCTACGAAACAGACCTGTATTAAAATCCATATGTGCTCATATTGAGTAGTCTATTTACTGTTATATATATAACTTCACAGAAGTTCAGGTTTCACGAGTAAGAAATTTCTCCATAACGTTCTTTTGTTTCCAGAAAAACGGTTTCTACCTCGACACCAACTGATCTCTCACTAATAACCGAACGTATCGCTGCAATATAAAAAACACACACGTTTAAGGATTTATCTTTTGGTCACTACATTATCAGGGCTCGAAAAAAGTCTCGTCCGTTAGTCTGGGACAAGTGGATTTTCTTGCTGGGCAAGTAACTTTAAAGGCTTACTTGCCTGCCAATGAGCAAGGGTCCAGGCTAGTCATCCTCTAATAAAATCATCAACTAAGGGGTCAAGAAATAGCCCTGGGTAAGCAAAATGTGAGAGCAGCTTGCCCAGAGGACAAGCCGGAATTCAAATTTTTTTTCGAGCCCTGAATTTGTCGTTCCATTTATGAATAATCTGCTAATAAAGCAATGCAAATGATAGCCTCCTAACGCTGGCCAACGACATCTGATATTGTCCCAGTCATTGACGTCATTCTTTCACAGGGGCCGGCCCTTCCGCCTTGTGCAGATAGGTTAAAATTACTTATCATCTTTTTTTTTTTTTTTCAAATTGCAGTCCATTTGTTTATGGACCGATTTTGAATAGCCTTCTTTGGTTTTCATTAATACTGCTGGAAATAAAATTTAAAGGTTTTATGTTCCTTTATGCGAGAAAGGTCAAAGGCACACAATTAAAAGTGCGAGGCTTCTTACTACTCAATCAGTACTGTACCAATAACCATTAAGTTACTGCATACATCGACATGGGCACATCATACGAGGTTCAAAGGTCCTTAGCCAAACTTATTTCCCTCAATCAATTAATTATAACAAGCAAAAGGCTTTCACCTCCGTAATTAAGTACCTTTTTCGTTGTCTTGGATAAGGATTTCTGTGTCACTTTCCACCAAAGACGACTATGCGAAGGATGGAAAAAACAACTTAAGTTAAACGTTATACTTAATTTTAGTTAGTTTTTTCGATGAAAACTTTAGAAACTTAATCAGATAAATTTACACTCAGGCCGACCAGGGAACGGTTGAGCGGCCAGCAAAGAAGGACAAGAAGAAGGCCGGAGAGGCCGGCGTTATGATTATCAGTGGTTCTTTTAGGAAAATACTCACTTACCCATTACTATTTTTAAAGGTCATGCTAACTTCCATTTTTCGTTTCAAGTTGATTGGCTATTGAAAGATTATCTCGATACAATGATGCGGTTGGGGGCTGTTGGAGTCGGAAGAGGATTGCTTTGAAGTATCTCAAGGAACTGGATACATCTTATCCCTCTTTATTCATTGGGCTTAAAAAGTGAGAGGTGACCAAGAAGGTTTTCTACCATGAGTATCCCTCTCATAAGGTCTTCCTACCTTCATCTTCGAAACTTTTTTATTCCGCTTTTAAGCCTTCTCTTGTTATAAGCCCACCCAATACTCCTTAGGAAGCAGTCATAATTTACCTAGAGGGTGGGCTATGATGATTTTAAGGTGGGGGGGTCACTCTTTTTCCCTCCTATGATTTAGGGGGGGCTGTGGAAAATTTCCAACAAAAATTACATCGAGCATAGGGGGGGGGCAACCATTAATTTCCTGAAAAAGAAAAGGAAATGAAAATATGCTGTTGGACGCTCTTATAATTCCTGTCTTTTATTTCATTTCAACAAAATGTTGATACAGAGCTAGAGTATGAAACTTGATGCATGACGCCCACTTCTTGTGCTACAAGGTCTCTTTGCGAGTGGCTCAAACTCACTCTCGTCACCCTCCTCACTCTCGCTCTCCTCATTCTCACTCTCCTTACACTCGCTCTCCTCACTCTCACTCTCCTCACTCCGTGTTTCCCCCAAGACAGTGTCGTCGCCTTCGTCATCATCATCAATATCACCATCATCTGAGACTGCTTCTGGCTCTTGTAAAAGACGTTGCCCTGTTACAGTCATGGTTCTCAATGCCTCAGCCCTAGTCTCTTTGGAATGAGTAGTAATCAGTTCCAGTTTTTCTTTTTTCAGCTTTTTTTCCCAAGGTAACGAGTGATTCTTCAAATATAAGTCAAGTTCCGAAACGTAAAGAGAATTTAGCCCTTCAGTCAGAAGAAGCTCCTCCCATGAGTTTGACATGTTGTACTTATGCGCTGGAGGAGGGGGGGGGGGGCTATGATATTTTCGTTTGATAAATCAACATCTCTTGAGGGGGGGGGTCAGAAAAAAAAAAAATCCATGAGATGATCAGGGGGGCTTCAAAAAAATGAAAGGAAACAATAAGGAAATCATCATAGCCCACCCTCTAGATAAATTATGAATGCTCCCTTACCAAATCGTATAACCCCAGAGCTTAAAACTGGGATCTTCCAGTAAGTACCCAGGAATAAAGGGTGAAGACTATACTTCTTACCTCTTGCCTCACATTTCAGCCTGCAGAGGTGACCACAGGCTTCGACAGGTGCTGAGGGATCACAGGCGGTATGGGCTTTGGCAAGGGCCTTGGAGGTGTGTATTCAAACTTGGATCCTCTTTTGCCAGGATCGAGAAAATGCTGCATTGCTTCCTCGTGGATCATTCGGTGTTTCTTATCCCAAGAAAAGATAAAGCTTTGCCTTCCATCCAGATACTCCTCACGGAACTGTGAAGCCACCTTCCTTCTCGCCCAGCGCGAGATGACAGACCGCGCTTCTTCGTTTTCATCTTTGTAATAACTGTCTCTACCTATCACGATCAGCACGTTATCATCTTAAGCAAAAACAGAATAAAGAATGAAGACTCGTCAGTGCTACAAAATCTGTCGCGGAAACACTTTCGATTTCGGTAGGCACACTGGCCCCAAAAAAATATCTTTTCAGAGAAATTTCCAACTTGGACTTGTACCTTTGACGATAAAAACTGCTCCCGGAAGTATTTTGTGACTGTCGTACAAAAAAGTCTTTCCAAGAAACCAGTCCTTTGTTTCGCGCGGCATTGCCGTGTAGCATGATTTCATCCTACTGAAAGTGCTTCAAGGTTGTTTACATCTTTATACCTTATCCATCGAAACTATTTTCGATCCGCCATATCTTTCATTAAAAACTGAACGAAATTAAAAGGCGTTTTATTACTAATTTAGCTTTCACACTGACGGTATTGGTCATTAAAATAGAGACAAGGTGCCTCGGGAATTCCGCCTTTCTTATGTGAGGTTTGCATGTTTAACCCATAGTAGCATGTAACGCATATTGCGTTAACTAGTTAAACCGTTCCCTCATGCACGTATTACTGTGCCTTACGTTTCATTAAAATGGATATGTTTTAGTAAAATTACCAACTATTTTTTTCATGCGTGAAACTTTAACTGAATCAGCTGCAGGAAAACTATTAGTGTAGTAAAATTGCCAATCACCAGTGTACATATTGAAGGGCAGAATCAGTGGAAGGCAACAGAAGTGCTTTATATTGAAACCCACCCGTTTTTTGAAGCAAAGTTCGGTAGAATCTCCCGTAACCAATGCCAGCATTGTCTTCGTTGATGGAGAGACGAGATTCGTTTGCATGCACAACAAAGACAGCGAAGTCCATCACCAGCTTGGGCAAAGTCTTCCCGCAAACTTTAACCATTTGTAGATATAGTAGTCAAAAAATTAAGACGATCAACTCCGATTTTGAAACCATATTTTTCCTCTACCTGAGGCAAAAACTTTTCCACTATTTCTAACTTATAAGTGTTGTCGCAGTTAAAAAGGTAAAACCTTTTCAACTGATGCGACATTTTGTCGCAACGCCGCTGCGCTCCACGCGTGTCTGTTCAGTCTTCGTTTTTTTTTTTCTTTACCCTGAGCGATTTAAAAGGAATCTATTAACATAGTCAAAAAAGGTAAGCTAGTTCTTTTTACACTTCGCAAAATGTTTTACTAGCCCCTCCCCTTTCTTTCTTCCTCTTCCTCCTCCTCCTCCTTCACAATTTTAATATCTTCGACCCTACACTCAACTTTTCACACAACCTCGTGAATAGTGAAACTATATACCACCTGCACCACATTCCTTTTTCCTCCACCACCACTACATTTCTTTTTCCTTCCACCACACCACCAAATTCCTATTGTTTCCCTCCACCACCACCACATTTCTATTGTTTCCCTTCACTACAACTACCAGCACTACAACCACCACCAGCACCACCACATTTCTACCGCTTGAATATCATGGTTATGTGGTTTCTCAGGCCCCACCAATATTTTAAAAATTACCCCTTGATGGAGCAGCAATTTTCTTAAAGTGTACAGCACAAGTCATAAAGAAATTGAGCGCAAAAATTTTAATTTGGGTTGAGATCATTCTTGTTGAAGCCGTGGAGAATATGGCTTATGGACAATTTGGACAGCAATTTACTATGAATGGATATGCAAGGGAAACTTCTCAGTAATTTATGCGGAATATGCGGCGGTAACTCAGTGTTCAGGCAAGTACAGGCTGCCATGTGAGTTCAGCCTATTGCGTGTAATTTGCTTTTCCACATATAAATGCAGCTCACAAGATCCCATTGGTGGTTATTCACTATTCGTTTAGTAGACTTGAACTGTGTTTGAAAAAGCAAGGCTGAATGTACATGAAAATGCATATCTTGTAATCAGTAGTCAGTCATTCTCTGCGTCCGTGGCGAGTAGAAAAGAAGATACTACTACCATTGTAACTCAAGTAGGAATCATAGAAGATAAAAGACACCAGGTCCTGTTCGTGTGTACTGGTCCAACAAGCTAAGTTCGTCCCATTGTTGTTGGGCACTTTAAATCAGAGGACGCTTACCTTGGTCCCAAGGGTGCGGTGTCCCCTGAGTAGGGGTTCCACCTCCAGTGTGCAATTTTCATAGACACACGCTTTGGAAAGAAATATTTGATAGCTGAAATAGTCGAAAAAGTACTGCACCTATCGAACATTAGACAGCCAATTTTAATTGGTAGATTTTGAAGAGAAAAGCATTTATAATGGAAAAGTCTGCAGTGGAGGTTCGTGGGTAGTGTGAGCAATACACGACCTTTGATATTCCCTATTACTCCCGAGCTTATGCACTGATTACCGTCCCACGTATTACCAACCCCCCCGCTTCCGCCAACTTTTGCATAAACTACTCTTTTCAAATGCTACCTAAAGATTCCGACGCTTTACGGTCAAAATTGCAAATATCATTTTTCACGAGTCCACTGTCTCGAAATTCTCAGAAGAGACTTGAACACAAAGATAATCAAGCCAAATAAAGAAATATGCCCAGAAAGCGTCGGAGTCATTTAAGAATTTTAAAATCTCGAAAGTGTGGAGTGACCATTTCCCGGAAATTATGCCCCCCCCAAAAAAAAAAAAAAAAAAAACTACGGACAAGCGTGGAGAACAGCGGCGGTGCGACAAGATGTCATATCTGCAGAAAAGGTTTTACCTTTTTAATTGTGACAACACTTACAATTTAGAAATAGTAGAGAAGTTTTTGCTTGAAGTAGAGGAGAAATATGGCTTCAAATTCTCCGTTGATCGTCGTTATTTTGGCCTGCCACGAATGGCTGAGGAGTGCGACAGGATTATACCTACACTGGATATGGACGTCGCTGTCTTTGTTGTTCACGCAAACGAATCTCGTCTCTCTATCAACGAAGACAACGCTGGGATTGGTTACGCGAGAATCTATCGAACTTTGCTTAAAAATACAGGTGGGTTTCAGCCAGCACTTAATGGCTCGCTTTCCACTGCATAATTTGGTTAAACTCAGTTTTAGAAACAAACACTGGTGATTGGTAATATACTTAGCTTGCCTTCCATTGATTCGGTTAAAGTCAGCTTTAAAAACGCACGCACATGGTTGGTAATTTTACTAATACATATTCAGTTTAAAACGTAAGACACGGCAATATAAAACTTGTTGGACGGATGCTTTAATGATTCACGCACAGAATGTGATGTTGATACAACTGCAGAAGAAACCGGAAGTCCCAAGACCCCTTCTTTTTATTCCAATAATCTATACTGTGAAGGCTTAATTAGTTAATAAAACGCTTATAAAATAAGATATGGTTAGGATGGAAAATAGTTAATCGATTAGGAAGGAAAAGACGTACAGTAAACACTCCTGAAGCACTTTCGATTCAGTCAAGCGCATATGACACAGGCACCAATCTCGACAAAAATGGAAATCGTTTCCTAGAAAGATTAATTGTATGTAAGATAGTCAGGAAATAATACGGGAAGCATTTCTTTTCATCATCAAAAGTACAAGTAAAGGCAAAGATTAAGTACTCTATCTGATAGACTCGAACTTTCAATTGATAATGTTCCGATTGAACAAGTTCCATCTGTGAAATCACTTGGAATGCACATCGATGAAAATTTAACGTGGCATTCCTACGTTGATAAACTGTGTAAAAAGATCGCTTCTGCAATTGGAGCCATAAAGCGAGTTAAGCCATTTGTGCCTCAATCCACCCTACTCAATATATTCAACTCACTAGTTCAATCTCACTTTGATTACTGAAGCCTAGTCTGGGGTAATTGTGGCAAAACATTATCTAACAAGCTACAAAAACTGCAAAAGCGCCTTGCACGAGTAATAACTTCATCAAACTTTGACGTAGATGTCGATTCCTTGTTTCACAAACTCAGCTGGAAAGACTTGAAATCTCAACGTCAAATTCAGAACGCCTTAATGGTTTTCAAGTCTTTAAACAGGCTGGTTCCCGAATATCTCACGTCTAAATTTATAAAGCGAGTTGAATCAAACTATTCTCTGATGGACTCGGTAAACAAACTTGTTGTCTCCTTTCCAAGAACTGACTACAGGAAAATAGTTTTAGTCAAAGCGGCGCCGCGCCGTTGCGGCAACCCTTTGGAACAGCTCGCAATGTAACATTAGAGAGTCTGGTTCATTAAATCAATTCAAACGCCTTCTCTATCATAATTTTTAAACATGGCATTCATGGAAATCAGGTTTTTTATGTGGAATATTTTTGTAAGTTAATATAATGCTAGGATTAGGATTTTCAGGTTTGAGGATCTTAGTGATTGTGTTATTGTATAAATAACGATTAAAGATTAAAGATCAAAGTCCAAGATGGAAATTTTTTCTGTAAAGATTTAACTTGGCTGGCCACTTGCCTACCGAAATCGAAAACGTTTCCACGAAAGATTTCGCAGCACTGACGGGTCTCCATTCTTCATTCTGTTTTTGTTTTAGATGATAACGTGCTGATCGTGATAGGCGGAGACAGTTATTACAGAGATGAAAATGAAGAAGCGCGGTCTGTCATCTCACGCTGGGCGAGAAGGAAGGTGGCTTCTCAGTTCTGTGAGGAGTATCTGGATGGAAGGCAAAGCTTTATCTTCTCTTGGGATGAAAAACACCGAATGATTCACGAGGAAGCAATGCGGCATTTCCTTGATCCTGGCAAAAGAGGATCCAAGTTTGAATACACACCTCCCATGGCCTTGCAGAAGCCCATACCGCCTGTGATACCTCAGCGGCCCATGTCGATGCCCAAAACACCTGTGGCCACCTTTGCTGGCAGAAATGTGAGGCAAGAGGTAAGAGCTATAGTGCCCCGCCTTTATTCTCGTTCAAATTACGGAAACAATCCTAGTTGTCGGCCCTGGGCTTATACAATCTCGTAAGGAGTATTGAGTGGGCTTAGAACAAAAGGAGGCTTACAGGCGGAATAAAAAGGTCTCGGAGATGAAGGATGGAAGGGCTTATGAAAGGGATACTCATGCTAGAATTCCTTTATGGTCACCTCTCACGTTTTAAGTCCTTAACGGAAGCCTAACTGGGATATATCCAGTTTCCTGAGATAATTCGAAGGCACACCCTCTTCCGACACCAACAGCCCCAACCGCATCATGGAACGAGATACTCTTTCGATAGCCAATCAGCTCTAATAAAATGAAAAATGGAAGTTAGCATGAGCTTTAAAAATAGTAATGGGTAAGTGAGCATTTTCCAAAAAGAACCACTGATAATGATAACGCCGATCTTTCCGGCCTTCCTCTTGTCCTTCTTTTCTGGCCTGCTCAACCCTTCCCTGGTCGGCCTGAGTGTAAATTTATCTGATTTAGTTTGTAAAGATTTCACCAAAAAACTTTAACTAAAATTAAATATTACTTTTAACTTATGTTGTTTTTCCATCCTTCGCATAGTCGTCTTTGGTGGAAAGTGACACTAAAATCCTTATCCAACACAACGAAGAAGATACTTACGGAGGTGAAAGCCCTTCTCTTGTTATAATTAATTTATTGAGGGAAATAAGTTTGGCTAAAGACCTTTGAACCTCGTATGATGTGCCCGTGTCAATGTATGCAGTAACGTTATGGTTATTGGTACAGTGCTGAGTGAGTAGTAAGAAGCCTCGCACTTTTAATTGTGTGCCTTTGACCTTTCTCGCATAAAGGAACATAAAACCTTTAAATTTTATTTCCAGCAATATTAATGAAACCAAAGAAGGCTATTCAAAATCGGTCCTTAAACAACTGCAACTTGGACTGCAACTTGAAAAAAAAAAGATGCTAAGTAATTTTAATCTATCTGCACAAAGAGGAAGGGCCGGCCCCTGTGAAAGAATGACGTCCATGACTGGGATAATCGCAGATATCGTTATTCAGCGTTAGAAGGCTATCAGTTGCACTGTTTTATTAGCAGATTATTCATAATTGGATCGACAAAATCAGGTCTCTTGCATTCCAGCTCGTCCTTTGGACAAGGTGCTCTGTTACATATTGCTTACCCAAGGCTACTCCTTGCTCCTCTTAGTTAATGATTTTATTAGAGGATGACTTTCCTGGAACCTTGACCATTGGGCAAGTAAGTTTTTAAAGTTAATTGCCCATTAAGACAATCCACTTGTCCCAGACTACCGGACGGGACTTTTTTCGAGCCCTGGTAATGTAGTGACCAAAAGATAAATCCTTAAATGTGTGTGCTTTTTATATTTTTAGCGATAAGTTTGGTTATAAGTGAGAGATCAGCTGGTGTCGAGGTAGAAACCGTTTTTCTGGAAACAAAAGTACGTTATGGAGAAATTTCTTACAACGATGAGGACGTCTTGCAGCGCAAAGATGGGTGGCGACCCTCAGAGAGACAGGCGTCAATTGTCATGGAAGATCTGGAGCCCTATGCTGTCCGCACAGTAAAGTTCTTCCGCACTGGTGATGATCCCGCAGTTAAGTTTTCGTATGACAAGCTCAGACCCTCAGGTCCCCAGGAGGAGGTCTGCGGCATGGTGTGCGGCATGGTGTGTCGCATGGTGTGCTGCGCGGTGTTAGGAGCCATAAACTTTCTCAGGAGGTGTTCTTGGGAGGACTGGAGAGAAGCCATATTTAGACAGTTCAATGAAATGTCCAGATGCCAGAAATGTAAGCTCGCCTGTTTCTGCTGCCTCGTCGCTTGCGTTGGCATGTTCAAAGAATGCATAGTCACGCCTTATTTACACCTGGTTGGCTGCCTTGGCTCCTTATGGGGTTGGTGCACTGATAGGTTCAGAGGCCGTTAATTTTCAATTATCATGACTCATTTTTGGATGAAGCTGAAATCTGAATTTAATAATTCTTTTATTATTCATTCAAAATATTTCATGCTTTAAAAATATGCTTACCTCGATTAACGAAAACTTCCCGTCTTCATTTGAGTCTGTTCCTCGGCAAATTTAAGAATTAAAAAGGTTGTCTAGTCTTGAAGATATTCTTCGAATAGCGCCGAGTGTTTTTGCTGCTCTTGGTATGCTTTTAGTTAAGGAAACAGTTCGGAAATCGTGTCAAATTTTCGAATCAATTTAGGTTGCTGGGAAACTGCCCACCCTTTTTTCCAGCTCTTTCAGAACAACTGAGCTGCCGCGCCCAACCTCGTCCTAAGGGGCCTCGAGCTCATGGCTCACAGTATGGCCTTTGGTCAACGCTAGCTGATTAGAAAGGATTATCCCTGGGATGTGAGTCAATCAGGAACGAAGAAATGTTTTGAATTAATAAGAAAGGGCATTAATTTGTAAAGTAGCAGCAAATTTCCCTCGTATATTAGTCAAGTATAACATATAGTTTGCAAAAAGTAAGAACTATTATCTGTTGATGTGAGCAAGATGCCACCCCACAACTTAGACTGAATCTCTTCTCGTAATTAGCAGGAGAAGTATTTTTAAAAGGCAAACTCTGCTAGAGTCAATTTAACACCACAATAGGTTCGAAAACTTTAAGTTTTGAGCGCTAGTACCACGATATATAGTTTTTCTGAAACAAAATTTTAAGAATATTTTAAGAACATTTTTAGGCTGATTTCTCACTAATATAAAAGCAGCCGGTAAAAAAATAGCTTGATCTGCCTGAATCCTAAAAGGAAGTCATAGGTTCTTATATGTGGACTGTACCTGACGGAGAAAACTGACTACACATCGTGGGGAACTGCAGATGGTGGCTCTTGTGGACGCTTGATTCCTAGTCTCTTGCCGATTTTTAAAGTTTCGCACAGATGACCGTGGAACTTCCTTTAACTATGCTTAAACTCTTGAAACAGCCAATCACTCAGTAATGTAAAAACAAGGTAAGGCGTGAACTATTTAGCATATAAATTGTAACGAATCATTTTAAATGATGTAAGGCGCGAACTATTTAGCATTATGAATTGTAACGAATCATTTTAGCTTAGTTTTCATGATGGCTGTACCTTTAAGTTAAGGAAATTATTGTAATTATAATAATTATTTTTTCTTTGTGTCTTCTTTGTAAAATGATCTCCGAATAGCCCTTTCGGGAGAGACAATAAAGTTACTGTACCAGTGTATGGCCAAACCGTGCATGGTTTAGAAACCAGAACCTGTCAGTTCATTTTCCAGCTTTTTCAGGGCTCGTCAACGTCGGGCATGACGTAGCTAAATTGAACGAAAGGTGCAACGGCAGGGGAATAATCAATGCAAAAATATTCTAATTCTGAGCTCTTGAAAGAGAATTTGATTCCACTCCACAATCACCAAGCGCGGATCCAGACCATTGTACTGATTATATGAAATGGAAGATGAAACGGGAGGAGATAAGTTACAAAAATTGTTCGCCCGATGAAAGGGAATCCAAGAAAGTCTTGGATTCTGAGTTCCACACCGTGGATTCCGGATTCAAGGTCATGCATTCCGATTCTTTGTCAGTGGAACTTGGATTCCGGATTCCAATCTGTAGTGGGTTTCCGGATTCCTGAGCTGAATTCCACATTTCAAAGCCGAGGATTCCGGATCGTGCAAGCAAAAAATCCTGGATTCTGAATATTATTCCTGAAGTACAAAAAATTCACGAATTACGAGATCCCCGGATTCCTTTACTTGGGGAGAAATTATGAGGAAAAACCACCGCTTGGAATCATTTAAATTTAGGCTCAAGGAATTTGTTTTCTTTTGAAAAGCACTAAACAGGACCAACTTGGAACCTACATATAACGAAGGGCCGAGGGACTGGAAAAATTTGTTCGCTTTATCGACGACGTTTTTTTGTATCAAGGTTGTTTTTCATATACAGGGTGTTTGAAAAGTTCGTTCCGATTTTTTATTCGCTTAAATCTCACTAATTATTAAAAAAACCTTTTGTAAAACTTAGTATGTTATTCATTATTCATTTAACATTGAAAAACTAAAATATTAGTAACCATAATGTCTTCCTGTATGTTTCTTGACATTTTCTAAGCGGTGAAGTACAGAATGTACGAGCTCCCAAAGGGTGTCCAAAGTCACATTCTTCCAGGCGAAGCGTAGTCACTGTCTTAGATCGTCCAGTGTTTTGGGGGCTGGATCTTTATATGTTGTCTCGTCTACGAAAATCCAGATGATGTCTAGGGGGGTTCACATCACATGAGTTTGTCGGCCGGTCCTCCTTCGGTATAAAGTTGGTAAATCCTTCTGACACCATGCTTGCATGAAGTGTTCACCGCCTTTTTTCTTCAAGGCTTTCCAACTTTTTGGGGGTAACTTATCCTCATACCGTTGTGCTCGAAACTTTGATCGATAATGTGAAGTTGAAATTTTTGACCTTTCTGTTTTGTGGAATTATTACGCATATACTCACAGCTTTTTCGATAATATTTCTCACACAGTTTGTGAAAAAACGGCCATCCACTCCTTGGTTTAGTGTCTTCTAAGGTCTTTACTTTTGACCATTTGTTCGGTCATCGTTCAGACTTCTTCAACAATTTGACAATTGTTTTTGACTGAATAGCCAGAAGACCATAAAAATAGGTGCATGAGCTCTAGCAAAAACAGTGTAGGCCTTCATTTTCATGAAGGAGTAGAGTAAATGAAAGAAAACGATAAAAATACCAAAACAGAAAACCTTCAAAATGGGCAGGAAAAGTATGGCGGGAAAATCCTCGCGTACGTGTACAGTTGGGGCAAAAATTAAAAAAAAAATTATAAGTTTCTTCAAATTTTAGTTTGAAATTGCTTTGAACGGTTATTTAGATAAATTTCTTAATTGAATCAGTTTACATTTGTCTAAAGAAGCATTAAAGGCCTTGCGCAAAATACAATCTACCATCGGAACGAACCTTTGAAACACCCTGTACTTTACTATTATTGGGTTGAAAAAGATCGTTCGTTATATGGAGGACATCGTTATGTAGAGATTCGTAATATCGAGGTTCCACTGATCAAAAACAGAGGTTTACGTTTTCCGCACAAATCCTTTAAATCCGAATGGGTATGGCAAATTGTAGACTCGTATCTATGTCTGTATATGCTTGCATTATTTTCCATTTACGACACAATCCTACCTAAAGAAATTTTGGGGAATATCTTCTGTGTATATGAGTGTATGTGTATGTATTTGCAACGAAGTCAAATAGAAATTGTCGTTTTGTTGCATTACAGAAATTGGCTCCAGAGGATTTATCTTGAAAATTGACCTCTCTGAATGTCTCCTACGGATCTTTGGACTATCAAAGGGTCCTTAAGGAGACCTGTGGAATGAAATAAAAGCGAATTCACAAGAACAACGGCGTGAAAATAATACCAAAATTCAATGGTCTCTATAACACTTGGGTGTATTTGACTCATTCTACTTATTCTGAGGCTGCGTGGGACGCTAAATGACTTTTACACCGAAACGAGGCTCGACCTCGTACAACACATAACAACCTCCCAAACGGGAGGAAAACAAGTCTTTGGCTTCTATATATGTGCATTACACAACTGAGGTGGCGGATTGTCTGGTCTTTTATCTATTTTAAAGACCACAAACTGATTATTCACTTCAACTTTTAATTTTCAACTACCCTTAAATCCAATATTTTCACATTTTCCCTTAACTTTTAACATTGGCCCTTTAAACTTTTATTGATTACAAATATTCTAATAATCACCAAAAAATTCTCAAAAAATCATTGTTCCAAGGACTTTATTGTTAAACTTCAATAACATTTTGACGAGATTTTCAAGAAAAAGTGCTCATGTATAATATAAACAAGGCGTGTAACTGTAATCGCCTTTTAATTCTTCGGACTCCATACAAAATATCGGAACAATTGATAGGTCACACGTTTTCTTTACTATAGATGATTTTTATGCTATGGCTTTGTGGTTTTGTCCGTCAAGCTTGAATACTCGAGGAGCGTGACAATTTCCGGGAAATTGTTAAAGGGTCATAAAGTTGATTTCTCATTTCTTAAGAGACCTGTCTGGTTTTATTGCGAGCATCTATTAGTCGCGTGTTTCAATTAATTCTTCTTAAGTTTTTTTCATTATTATTATTGTTTTGTGTTTTTATAATAATATGTCAAGGCTGTCCCTTGGGTCTAGCTGTAGAGCCAATTTGGATGCAATGTCGGCTTGTTAACTCGCATAATTAACTGACTAACGGTGCGTGAAACAAGGCAATGAACTCACCAAGCGCTGAGAATTCAATAGTTAGTCGAGATAGAAGGGAGAAAACGGTTTTGTAATAGTCAGTCAAAATTGACTGGGGAATAAGGGGAATTGAACAGGGGGAACAAGTGGAACAAGGAAAACAGGGGAGCAGGGGAAACAAAGGAAACTAGATTCCATTCCTCAAGTTTTACTAATTTTCAACGTGACAAGATCAATGTGTTCTCTCCAGCTTAGGTTTTTATTTATCAGAA